ATTATTTCAGTTTCTTATGTTTTTTCTTCATATATATTCTGAGTGTTTATAAGCATGCAAGTTATTTGTTTGAATGTTCGAATGTTTAAGTAATAATTACTTATTTGTTTGTGTTTGACTTAATTATAATTTTTACAATTACAATTTATTCATGTATTGAAATGTATTTTAATCTAAATGTAAAATTTGTATGTTAGTTATATATTTGTATTTTTAGGTAAATACAAGATTATTAATCGTGTTGTAGTGTCACATATGACATTGAATTTATTTAATAGAATCATTTATTTAACACCATTTTTCTACATTTCTTTTTATTTTTTCCTCAATTTATTATCTTCCATTATTTTTATTAAATTTTAAAATTAAGGTACGTGCGAAGCGTATTCAAACCAACTAGTATTATTTAATATGAAAGTTCAAAGTGATATTACATATTGTTGGTTTCCTAGTTGGGACCACGAACACTTAAGTGTGTGGTTATATGAACACTAAAGTATTTAAGCTACTTATTATTGACTATAATATATTACTATAATCAATGGATGTAGATTCGTTTAAAATTTGTTTTTAAAGTTTCTAAAGCAAGTGGCTAATGTACTGTCTAGTGAATCTCTCAGTTTTCAAAATGCAAATGGTTCTATAAGTGAACCAAAGAGAAAGACACTGACTTTTTGTTTTAAGCAAAGTCTAAAACATATAAATTTCTCTTGAAAGTCGTATCCTCTAAGGTAGACTTCCTAGTGAGAGCAATAGAAATACTTTACTAAGTAAAGTTTATGTTGCTTTGTGTAGAGTAAGTTAAAACTAATGAATTTTTTGAATTTTTAGACTAATGCATTTTGGAAAGAAGAGTTAATCATGCAATGGACTTGGCATTGACTAACGACGCGTGTGTCCAAATTGATTTAACTTGAAAGGTTCTAAGTCAGTACATTCTAAAAAGTTATTCCGTTAATAATATGTTATTGATGGTAAGATACATCAATAATATATTTTGGACTTCAAGTGTCATGATTGCTTTGATCTGTTTGACTTGCATATTTTATCCTACTTGTAAGAAATTTTCCTTTAAGTTTTTCATGTTCACCTGTGAAATATGGAAAGTATTATCGTAGTGGTGATTTAGATGAAAAATATGTATATGGAACTTCATAATGCTTTGTGCTGTGAAGTAATAAAAAGATATGTGTACTACTGAAGTTTTGATTTGATTTTATACAATTGCATGGTGATTGATCTAAGTTACTCTTACATGGTGTATATATGTTGTAAATTGCATATGCCAAAAGTTTGTAAGAGTATGTAATAGATGTTTGCTTTTTGTATATATAATTATACTCAATGCACATACTAATCGTAAACAACGTGCAGTAGATACTAAGCACAATCTTTTTTCTAAGTTCAAATTAAATGATCTTGGTGAAAGAGGTAATATCTTAATCTGAAGGAAATAGTGGGGGTTTTGTACTTTCTTATTCATATGATGTTAATAAGTTATTAACAAAATATCAACATATGAATGTGAAGAAAGTTTGTAGTCTCATGGTTTTATATTTAACATTAGTGTTAAATGTGACGACCCAATTACTAAACTAGAATCTTCTAGTGATATTGGATGTCTTATATGTGCATTATAGTTGTGTTAACATTTTCTCTGTGATATATGGCTCATTGATTACACTAAGTGGCTAAGTAAGATCATTGAAAATCTAATGCTAAAATCAAAATGTGTCTTTGAAAGACTAACATTTATGATTTTATTATAACTAATTAGATTTTTGTTGTTCTTAAGACTTAATCGAATGCTAGTGGGTATTTTTGCATGAGTGATTATAACCCGTTAATGGTTAGAAATTCATGCTTGGTAGTGAGATATGTTTCTTGATAAGTGAAACAAACTTTAATCACCCTCTCCAATATATAAAGGAAAGGAAAACTGAATTTGTTGAACTATCTTTAGTAAATAAGGAGGTGAAATGGCCAAAGGGCCCTGGCCTGTGTCACCTGTAACCTTATGTTGTGATAGTTAGATTAATATGTCTTGAACAATAGGTGAATATAGACATATTAATTCAAGATATGTATTTCTTAATGAGATACAAGTGTTAATGTTGTTAGTGTTGTGTTTGTGAAAACACAATTTTGTTATGGATCCATGTACCAGATCTCTTGCGAGAGAATTGGAGTTTTTACATTGTGTGAAATTTGACAATAGGTAAATATAGACATATTAATTCAAGATATGTATTTCTTAATGAGATATAAGTGTTAATGTTATCAGTGTTGTGTTTGTGAAAACACAATTTTGTTATGGATCCATGTACCAGATCTCTTGCCAGAGAATTGGAGTTTTTTTATAACATGAGGAATGAGATTAAAACCTTTTATCTAAAGTTACATACAATGGAAACCCTTCTTCTAGTAGTCCACTAGATTGAAAGGTCAAAGGGTAAAAACAAGTTTTGTAATTGTGAGCACTAAATCAATGTGTATACCATTCCAAGGTTGGTGCATTATATTACTCTTAAGTGAACAGGTTGAGAGCAATCTCTTAATGAAATTATTCATGAGTATTCAATTATGGTTAAGTAATGAATTTGAGTAACTTTTACCTATTTGACCATAGAAGTGGTGCCGCTTCTGGCAAGAGTTTAAGGTTGTCTCTTGTACATGGTCAAGAAATTAGGATGAGCACATGGCCGGTAATAATGCTAAACAATAATGTGAATTATATAGAGTGTTGTGAGTGTTTGTGCGTGCAAGATCAAGTCTGATATGGTTTAATTGTTAGTTCAAGTAAAGAGGTACCAACAAATTAACTGTATTCGTGACTAATTTTCACTATGGTGTGGTTCAAAATGAAAGTTACCACTCCTTATGCATGATTCTCAATATTTGTGACTGTTTTACATCACAAACTAAGTGGGAAATTGTTGGTTTTCAATTTATGAAATAAAACTAAAAACTGAAAAGTTACAACCCAAACTTGGTTCAATCTTCCTGGAACCAACTAAAGGGTGTCAAAGAATTAAAAGACTACGAAACATGACAAGTATTCATGAAGATTACGTTGGTAACTTGGAACTCAAGGGTTATAAGCCTTGATTCGTAAACTTTCAATTCGTAGTGTTTGCCTATAAATAGGTGAACTACTGCAGGTTTTTGGCAAGTCTTTTTGCATTTCTGGATTCTTAAAAGAACAAGGAATAATTGCAAAGTTGCTTATTCTTGTGCTTTTTCGTGACAAATTGCGAATCAAACCCGGGTTTGCAAAGTAGTGGGGGCAAATATTGTCTTAAGGACAATGATTACACGCTTAGAACACATCCAACCACTGCGGTATTTCCCTCAATATTGTCTTCAAATATTTCTTCTTAGAAATATATCTATGCTTTATTTTGTTATTGTCACATTCTTGTATGATTTCTCCAATTACAGATACTTCGTATCTTTCAGTGGCTTTGGCCGATTATAGCGCAAGAGAAGTTAAAAAGAAAATAATAACGGCTGAGCCATTTTTATGTGATCATGATCCTTGCTTTTTTTAATAGAGGATGTGTATATTTATAATTTGCAAAAGTTGATGGCGATACAATTTCAAATTGATTTGGAGTTACCTTCATCCCATCATTTGATTTTAATAGAAAATCTTGACTTTTGTTTTTTGAATTTTAATCTTGACTTTTGTTTTTTGAATTTTCCTATTATCAAAATTGTTATTTGTTAGATTATCACTTACATAATGATAATATGGATCACTTACTATTATTGTTTATAGGGCTGCTGATTAATCGGGTAGACCCGACGGACCGCCCGACCCGAGATTAATTCGGCCAAAACGGGTCGGCTAGTCGGCTTAATTGATCAAATTTCAGCTCCACCCGATTAACCGATTAGCTTAAACGGTTCGGGGCCAGTTTTCACAGATGTTTTTCGAGGATACCCGATTAACTCGAACTATTTAATTTATTAAATATATATACCCCCTCTCCTCCCTTCTTCCTTTCTTCCTTCTCTTCTTTCTTTTTTCAGATTTACCCTCTTTCCCTCCTTTCTTTCTCCCCCCGCCGCCACCCACCTTCCCCCTTCCCCAGCCGTCCTGCTCTCCTCCCATCTACCTTTCTTCCTTCTCTTCTTCCTTTTTTCAGATCTGCCATAGTCCCACCGCCACCCCCCTTCTCCCTTCCCCCCAACGCCCTCTTCTCCTCCCTTCTTCCTTTCTTCCTTTCCTTCTTCTTTTTTTCAGATTTACCATAGCCCCGCCGCCACCCCCCTTCCCCTCCTTTCTTTCTCCTCCCGCCGCCACCCCTCCCCCTCTCCCTTCCCCCGCCGCCAGAAATTCTCCAATCTCCATCTTCTATTTACATATCTAACCTTGGTTTGATTTTTTTTTCCTTTTTCATAGAATTTTGTAAGGATAAACTTCTTCAAATTTTGAAATATGTATTTTTTGGGAGAGAAAAGTGATGTTTATGAATTATGATGGTTAATTTGTCATTTTTTCTCTGAAATTCTAATTTTGAGCATTTTTTTTTGGGACCACGAGAAATGTTATTAGTGTGTCATTGCTGTGTTGGTTCGAGTGAACCAAAGCCTGAACCGACAAACCTGATCGTTTAATCGGTCGATTCAGTTCGGTGCAATTGATTTTTCAGTTCGATTTCGGTCGGGTCTTCAGTGAAAAAAATATCCGATTAACCCGAACCAAACTCACCTGAATCACACTAAATCAACCAAATTAGTAGCCCTAATGATTTAGTAACAGAAAATTTTGATTTGATTTGATTTAATTTTATCCTTTACTAACTAGAGAACATATAAAATATAAAGGATCCAGTAATAAATTTTTTAACAAATTTTTTAACAGACTTCTTTACTTAAGACATGTATTCAGTTAGCTTTTTCAATTGAGCCAGAAAGATCAATTCATCCCGAAATCCTCCTCCTTTAATATATAAAGACTAGATGTTAGACCTGTCCGACGGACGGGGAGATCGTGCATATTTAGAGATTTTAACGTAATAAAGCAAGAGTAGATTTTATAGTTTTATATATTTTATATTAAAAATAGAAAAACAAAAACATTAGCCATAATTTTTCAATAGTGAATACGATTTTCTGAAATTTTACACAGAAATAATATTAACAAAAAGTGCTAAAGTCAAGGAGCAATTTATTAAATAGAAAAAATTAATTCAAAATGAATGATCAAATGTCTTGCAAAACTTCTTTGTAGACTACATTAGTAGTCTTGGAGTTCACATTACCATCTTCATCGCATATGAGGATCTTTATTCCTTGTCTCGAAGTAACTCTTGATAAAGCAACATATAATTGTTCATGACTAAATACTGGACGCGGCAAATATAATCCCACATTTGTTAAAGATTGTCCTTGGCTTTTGTTTATAGTCATTGCAAAACAAATTGCCAAAGGAAATTGACTTCTCTTCATTCTGAAAGGGAATTTAGTATCAGATGGACAGAGTGACATCCTGAGTATATATATACGATATCTTGCAGGGAAACGGCAGAGAAGAAAGAAATCCAGCAGAGGTTGACCAAAGCCCCAGTATTCTCAGAAGCCAATTGAAATCCTCCAGACATAAATCTCAGCCGCCACTCCCCTCCAAAATCCTCTGTAACCCCTCTTTTACTTCTTTGCTCTAGAGTTTCGAAATAATTAACAAATAGTTATTCAATATATCAAGCCACGTTGAGATGGACTAATAACTGAATTAATTTAATTAATACCTATCAAGTAAGTCGTGTCTGGAGCCTTGTTCAAAATATCACCAAACCCTGCAAACTCGAAACCAAACTTTGGGATTGAATCGTCTTGACGAAACTGAACCAAAGTGTTCGGATAGAAACGAATCTTTTATTGGTGTGTATTAGTTCGATAACCTCCTCCGACTTTGACAATATTGAAATTCGACAATAGCTTGACAGTGCCTTCCTTCAATTGGTCCTCAAATCTCTTGATCCACTGTTTTGAAACCTGAGCAAGAATTTTAGTACCCTGCACAAAAAGTGCTCGATTTATCACAAATACCAAACTGAGATAGTGATATAGACATAATGAAAATTTGAATATAGATTAAATCCAGTGATAATTACATATACCTTGGCATCAACCAGGAGAGCTTCAAGACAGACTACATCTTTAGATTTTGCATAGGTTGGTTTCCAAGTTTGGAGCACACGAACATTAACTCTCCAATTGGACTTGATTCTTGAGGAGGTGATATCTTCTAACAAATCGAAACGATCATCATAGGCCATATTCAAGTTTGACTTCGTATATAGAAAAATTGAGTTGGATCAATGGACGGTTTTGGTACGAAAGAGCTTGAAACACAAATTGTGTGTATTTATAGGAATTGTGGGACGCTACGAACACGAACCATCGGCAAAAATCTTCAGCTTTGAATTTTAAATCTTCGAACAACTTCTGTATAGATTGGTTGAGATCATGTGATCCGAAGTTCAAAAAAAAAATATATGATCAGTTGGGATTTGATATCCTCCATGAAACTTTGTCTGTAAGTGATACCATATTAATATATGATTTCGAAATTTGAACGGAAATCCTTCTTCCGTCTGCATTATAAGGCAACGAAATTTTGCAGGGAATAAGAAGATTGGATAAATTTGAAATTGTAAGCATTATCACCATTTTTTTTTTTGAAAAAACAAAAATCTATTCCATATCACATTCTATGTACGCATTATCACATTAGCACTTTATTAGCCTTATCCCTACATTATGGGAAATTAACTTCAATTTTATCACCTTGGCATTAATAATCAACACCAGTATATAAATGTAAGCATTCAAAATCTAAACGTGAAATCTGTTCATCATTCAGCTATGTTTTTTTTCTTTTTATTTATTTTAATTATTTTATTTTGTGCATTTTTAAACTTAAAAAATTAAGAAAATGCCACATATGATAAAATCTTATGTGTCAATAGACCCTTGACTTTAGATTTCTCTCTCTGGTTTTTGCCTTAGTATAGTATATAGATATAGATTATTAATTTATCAATCTATCTAAAATATTATACTAAGAGAGAAACTAGAAAGTGAAACTAGAGAGGTTTTAAAGAGAGTTTTCACGTATCTTACGTGGCAATTTCTCAAAATTTGGAGGAAAAAAGTTTTAACATTTAGCTATAGTCCCAAAAAAAATCCGTTATAATAGATTAGCACATTCACCATAATTATCTAAATTAATTAACATTAAATATATCCAATAATTATTAATCTCACTCTCAAAAATCAAGATAAAAATTTATAACGCAATGGTGAAAGCAGTGTTACAGAGTCTACACAATTATTGGTGCAGAATTTTTGTTCTCCCGAAAAAGGTAATTAAATCCATAGATGGTCTGTGTAGATCATGATTCTTATGGGCTGGTAACTCTGAGAGCAAGAAAGCATCAGTTGCATGGACTGATATTTGTAAACCCACTACCTCAGGAGGATTAGGCATCAAGGATTCTTATTTGGTAAATAATGTTTTGATGTTAAAATTGATATGGGATATCAACCTCAAAAGGAAAAGTACTTGGGTAAAATAGATACTTGAGTACTACATTAAGCATGGGTCTTTTTAGAATCTTGAAACTAAGCAGAATACCTCATGGCCGATGAAAAAACGGGTGAAGTTGAGGTAGATTGCACTCTCATATAAATGTTAACATTACATGAATGGTCTTGAATAGATTGGTGCAGGGATTCCTTTCTCAACAAGTGGTGCTTACAATACAATAATGGAGCAGCCCCATAGACATCAAGAATACATCTTGTCATGGGGAAACTTCATTGTCCCAAAACACGGATTCATCAATTGGTTGGCTTGTCTTGACTTATTGAAGAGGAGAGCTAGAATAGCAAAATATGAAGTGACAAGCGACACTAGATGTCCCCTGTGCTTGATGGCTGAGGAAACAGTGGATCACATGTTTTTTTAATGCCCTTTTCAATCCAGATTATCACCCAAGAAATGGCTTTTGTCGATGCATTGCCTCCGTCTTTTTGTTGGCCTTTTTTTTAGGAAAGAAATATTGCAGAAATACGGATCGAGCAGTGGAAAAGATTGTATCACTAGAAGAGTGGTGGCATCTGCAGGCTATCACAGTTGGGAGACAAGGAATGCAATCATGTTATCTTTAGACAAGGGAACATATCGGTAATCGAAGTGATGTAGAGTATATCTTTCTCATTGAAAATGAGGTTGTCTACTATCTCAAAGATGAGTGATACAAGCAAGAATAGACTGTGGTGTGAAAAGATGGAAATTGACCTGCAATTCGTTTGAGTTGTTAGGTTTATCTTTTGCGGTGATCTTTTGCGATTTTTGTTGATGGATAGTATATAGCACATGTAAATTCCTATGTAGGAGTATTTTGTTGATATTGAGGTTGTACTAAACTCTGTTTCAATGGAATGAAAAGGCAAACTTCATAAAAAAAAAGAAGAAAACACTCATTTTATCAAACCACTGTTGAGTTCAAATTCCATTTTTTGTGAAGCAAAACTCAAAGCTTTGGGAGATCTGAGGAATCAAATCATTGGGATCGAACAAATAAGCTTTCTTTTCTCAAGGTTGCCATCCTTCCTTGCATTGTCTTAATTTTGTCCTCCGCCACCGCCACAGCTACTACTGTATCTGCTGCATGTGATGGAAATGATGGTTTAGAACCTACTATAAATCAGTATGTCGCGTGATTGGAAGGTTTGCATGTAGTTTTGTTGCGGGAGTTGAGGCTGTTTTAGTCAGAATTCTTTTTGATTTCGTTTGAATTTGCTTTTTTATCCTAATGAGAAGGTGATAATTCAATTTTATTTTGTTTGAATTCATTATTGATCGGAATGTTTGCTTTGTTATATGACGCCCAATATCCTTAAATTATGACAACTCCTCCAGACTAAATTTAAATGAGTAAGATTTTCCTTAATTATATTGTAAGATTTTCAGTTCTTCGTATTTTAAAAGCTCCTCGATATTAGTAATACAAAATTATTGGTACAATCTTGCTCAACATGATATGAAGAAAAAAGACTGAGTTTTATTCAAATGTGCGTATCTTCATTTTATGTACTCTTCTGTCCCAAAATATAGTTTTAATTAAGATTTTTATTTTTAATTTAAATTGTACTAAAAATAAAATTCTAAACTAGACAATAATATCGAGAACAATGGAGTATTTTTCTGGTTTGGTCTTGACGTTACTAAAGTTTCAGTAAGTATGTCATTATGTGAAGTTAGGCAGACTTAGTTTGGTATTTGGCTGGCTCCGGCAGCATATCAATGTTTCCATCTATTCTTCACAAAGTGAGGGGGATCTCTTGTGTGGTCTAGAAGCATTTGGATGTAAATGAAAGGGAAACCCGATTAATATATAATTTTCATAAACATGTTGTATTACGAAAGAATTTTTAACATCACAAAAACTAGTGATGTATAATTTTTGAAGAGAGAAGTGGTCTCATAAAGGAATTTTTGACATCGTAATAGTTATTATTCCCTAACGTGAAAATACCATTTGATTGGTAATAGGTAGAATTCAATCTATTTGTTTGCATATTACTTCAAGATAATTAATATTACATAATTATTTTTTAAAGTTCACGTAAATTTAACATTATTATAAAAATAATTCATCATTCTGCTCTGTTTCCTTCACTATTTCTTAATTTATCATAATAGGCGGGCACGCGCGAAGGACCTTTAATTCATCTAATGCTTTGTTTATTTATGGTTTTATTAAGAGTTTTTAACACTACCAATTGAGAGAGACTAATGGTAAGTTTTTAAAATTATAATATTCTTTTGATAGTTTTACCAAACCTTGAGGATTGAAGACGTTATTAACTAACTGTACCCAGGCCCGTAGGCAGTATCCCACTGTTAAGTTGCAAAAGGCGCAAAATAGTATGGGTCAAAATTAACCACGCTTTCTCGTGTCCCCGTTTTCTAAACAAGTTTCTCCTCTGATATTGGTTGGTTTTTGTGATTTGAAACTTCAATGTTGGTTCCAGAACTGAACAAGATTACCAATCTGGACAAGTTTCAATCGAAATAAAATAGACTGAACGGCGGCGACTTGTGATTCGAAACGGCACCGGTGTTTCACCGGAGCAGCCCGCCGATGAAGTGTAGATCTGTGGCCTGCATTTGGTCAGGCTCACTCCCTGTTCAAAAAGTAACCGCCACCGCCGTACTCAACTATCCTCCCACCCTCTACACCGGTGGCTCCGATGGCTCCATCATCTGGTGGAACCTCCCTTCCTCCGCCAATGCTAAACAGGTATGCTAATACGTCTGATACGAGTTTTTCTTACTAGTTCAAGCTCTTGATACTCTCGTTCTAACTGTGAAGGATTGAATTCTTGTCTCCTCAATGGTTGGCGTATTTCGATGTTTAGGAATTTTATAATGATACTGTATGTTTCTGGAATTGAATTTCAATTCTTGTTGACTTGTTAGGCTCTAGCGTTTACACTGCCTTTCCGGAATACTTAGAATTGTTGAGCTTTTATTTCTTGGGTTAGGTTTTCTAATTTGTTGGGATGATCATTATGTTTGGGTAGGAGGTGGAACCAATTGCAATGCTTTGTGGACATGCTACTTCAATAGCAGACTTAGGGATATGTTATCCTTCAGCTGTTTCAGGAGATGGGAAATTAGATAATGTTAATCAGCCTGTTTCCACCTCACATTCAGAGAATTCTGGTGCGTTATTCAGTGCATGCAAGGATGGTGTATTGTGTGTCTGGAGCAGGGCAAGTGGCCATTGCAGACGTAGGAGGAAAATGCCTCCTTGGGTTGGCAGTCCATCTGTGGTTCGTGTACTGCCCGATAATCAGAGATATGTATGTGTTGCCTGTTGGAATGCTGAAAGTATTCACGTTTCCAATCATAAGTCTTTTGATGTAGAACATGAAGGTTTACTGAACAGAGAATCGGGTTTTGCTAAATCTTCTAAATGCACGGTGGTAATAGTTGACTCATATTCCCTCGCTATTGTACAAACAGTTTTTCATGGTAACCTGTCCATTGGGCCTTTGAAGTCCATTTCTGTTATATTATCTTCCGGGCATATGGAGAATCATTCTGTCATGATGGTTGATGCGTTCAGTAAGGTTCACTGCCTACCAATATTGAAGGATTCTGAGATTACTGGGGAGAGTGCAACTCGGAGCTCCACCCAGTTGGATTTGAAGGATTGGCTAGATGGCTCGAAAGAAGGGGGTGTATTAATGACATGTGTTAGCCGTGGACAATTGTTAGTCCTAGTATATTCAACGTACTGTACATTTAGGCTGATGGATGATGGCCAGAAACTTGGGGAGATACTTTTCTCAGATCATCAGCTATGCCTTGAGGGCGATTCTGCCCTTGGCGCAATATTTGTTGATGATGACGATATTACCATTCTGACCAACTTTGGGGGGTATGAAAATTTAGTTTCTGAAGTATTGATTGTTTGGAATAATAGAGGTGCAGCTGTAGTTTACAGGATATCATATTCAAGGTACAAATTCACATCTGAGCCCATGTATTCAATTCCTGCCGTGCCTCGTCCTTCAGAGGTAAAATTATCCCTTACCTTTGTCTTTGCCCGAGATCATCTTCTTCGTATTGAATCAATCTGCTGCCACGGTGGGCAACCAATGTTCTGGAAACCTTATATCACAATTTGGTTACTGCCACAACTTCATGATTGCAAGGAAACTATTTCTGGGGATTTTAAAAAACTTAGTGAAGGCCTGTACTTTGATAGTTGGATCAACAGCTCCGCTCACAAATCTGAAGGCTCCGGGGATGATATTTGCTTTAAAAAAAGTGGTGCTGGGGATGAACTATTTTCTTCGGACAATTCTGTATCTTCTTCAAACAAGGGGGAAAAGTTTGTTTCGTCTTCAATGGTTATATCTAAAAACTGTGTGCCATTCGCCCTTGCTTATGGTTTCTGTGATGGTGATATAGAAGTTGTGCGTTTCAATATGTACTTTGAGGGATTAAGTTTTTCCGATCAAAGTCCATCTTATAGGTCGAATCCTCAGACATCAAAGTTATATCTTTCAGGGCATACTGGTGCTGTCCTCTGTTTGGCCTCACATCAGATGGTTAGTAAGTCCGCTAAAGGGGATTTCAGCCATGTTTTAGTGTCTGGAAGTATGGATTGCACTGTGCGGATTTGGGACCTTGACTCTAGCAACCTCATTATTGTCATGCACCAACATGTGGCCCCTGTGCGTCAAATTGTTCTCCCACCTCTTCATGTTGGATATCCATGGAGTGATTGTTTTCTCTCTGTCGCAGAGGACACTTGTGTTGCCCTTACTTCGCTTGGCTCTTTGCAGATAGAAAGAATGTTCCCTGGGCACCCATACTATCCTTCAAAGATTGTATGGGATGGTGTTAGGGGTTATATTGCATGCCTATGCCCCAATCTTTCAGGAACATCCGAGTCTTCAGATGTCTTATACATATGGGATGTCAAGACTGGTGCACGTGAACGGGTTCTTCGTGGAGCTGCAGCTCATTCAATGTTGGACCATTTCTCAATGGGTACGAAGAAAGAATTTACTCCTGGCAGTTTGATGACCAAAAACACCTCAGCCTCCTCATTAATTTTTCCGGTTGTTGAAGAAGTACATAATGCACCATCTCATTCGAAACTTTCTGCTAAGCCAGAAAACACATCACAAATTCATACGAGCATGACCGAATCTGGTAAGTCATCTGCACATGTGACCAAGGAGATTGAGTCTTCCATGTTTACCTTTCAAAATGACAGGCCTCCAGTTGAGGGCACTTGCCCTTTTCCTGGCATTGCCACTTTGTGTTTCGACCTTAAGTCGTTGATATCTGCTTGCAAGAGTAACGAATTCTTACCCACTGCAAGTATTGACCATATAAAAGCCCAAACTGAGGATATCCAAGTGGAGACACCCAGAGAAGGTGCCCATGAGCAGGATAGGCAGGAGAAGGATCCTGAAACAGAGATTAAAAGTCCTCGCCAAGCCAACAGAGAAAGTCCTGATTTCAGTGGGACCTCATCTGGTACAGCAGCAGAGTTTGACTGGTTGCACTCCTTAGGAGGATGCTTGCTTAATTTCAGTCTGTCCCTTTTGCACCTTTGGAACGTGGATATTGAAGTTGATAGGTTGTTAGAAACTGAAATGAAGCTTAAAAGACCAGATTTTTTCAATGTAGCTTCTGGTATGATCGGTGATAGAGGCGCTTTAACTCTGACTTTTCCTGGTTCAAGTGCCACATTAGAGGTATTTATTTTTCTTTCTTTTTGTTTTCCCACCACATTAGAGGTATTTCAAGAACATTATATGTTTCAAAAAGTTTTATTTCATCTAGGTATTTATTTCTAAGCCACTGGCGATTGACCTTTCAGATTTGGAAGTCATCATCTGAATATTGTGCTCTTAGATCGTTAACTGTGGTGGCCCTTGCGCAGCAGTTGATTAGTCTGACCCATTCATGTTCTGGAGCCAGCAGGTACTTAATGTCCTTGAGTGAAAAGTATTTATACTCCAATTGAATCTATTGATTTTTAATAGTACTTTCTATATCTGATTGAAATTATCTTTTGTTTCTAATGAGCAAACATATCACCTACAAACCCAAATGCTATGAAGTCTTAGCTTTCCCTAGTGTTACTCCCATGACGTGTTAAGTCCTGGCATTCTGCTCGTGCTGTAGCTAAGAAAAATGGAAACGTTAAAATTCATGGTTTTAGAAAAGTCAGGCCACAACCAGATGACAAGGATCCTAACGCCGGAGGCATAATCTCTAAAATGCCCCATTATCTAGTTAGATTTTTGTCCCTCCTCATCAATATTCAGTTGCATAAAACTTGTAGTTTGCCAGTTGATTCTTGGCAATATCAGCCTTGTTTGGTGACTTTGTTCTATGATCACTTTATTTGTACTAAACACCATTACTTTACATTCTACAAAGTGAATTCAATTGTGGATGAGCTTTCTAAGTTCAAATTTATCCTTTGCATTGTGAAATTTTCATATTGATAATTGATGAGATTATAGATGAAAAAACTAATAAGACAATATTAAACATTTTTTACTCTTCAAATAACTTATATGCAGCCTTTCTTCTCCTTGATTTTTAAAAGTGTATTCATGTGCTCTAATCTGCTGGTGTTCTGTATATCTCTTGTAGTGCTCTAGCAGCGTTTTATACTCGGAATTTCGCAGAGAAGTTCCCAGAGATAAAGCCTCCTCTGCTTCAGGTAATGTATCTTGTCAAAAGGTTTTTGCCTGGTCATTGAGAAGTTTGTCTGGAAAACAGCTCAATCCAAATGGTTAACTGCATAGTTATGCAAATTGATCATGTTAATGAAATCAAGTTATGCAAATGCATCATGGAACGATAGTTCTAAGCATATGGTTGATGTCCCTTTTGGAGCAACTAGTTGGCATTGAGAATTTGTTGCATTTGTACTTCAAAAAGAAATAAACAGCAAACTGGTTGCATCATATTTTATTTGAATGGTTTTTGTTTTCATACTCTGAAGGTCTTAGTAAGCTTCTGGCAAGACCAGTACGAACATGTGAAAATGGCTGCTCGCTCTCTTTTCCATTGTGCTGCATCACGTGCTATCCCACGCCCTTTGTGCTGTAAAAAGGGAAACCCTCCAGAAAATTCTCTTTGTAGTTCAGAGGGGATAACAGAAATGGAACGGGGAAGTCCAATATCTGACATCAAAACCAACTCTGGAATGCCTGAGAGGCATCCAGATGTATGCGGGGATTCCCAGACTGAAGAATCTGAAATTCTCTCATGGTTAGAGTCATTTGACATGCAAGATTGGATCTCTTGTGTTGGAGGGACAAATCAAGATGCAATGACATCTCATATAATTGTCTCTGCTGCATTGGCTGTTTGGTATCCGAGCCTTGTAAAACCAAGTCTTGCAGAACTTACTGTTGAATCATTGGTGAAATTGGTTATGGCCATGAATGAAAAATATAGTTGCACTGCAGCAGAGATTCTCGCGGAAGGAATGGAAAGCACATGGGGAGCATATATTGGTTCTGAAATTCCTCGTATGATAGGGGATATATTTTTCCAGATTGAGTGTGTTAGCAGTTCATCTGCTAAGGGTAATACTTCAGCTATATCAAACAATATAAGGGATACATTAGTTGGAATACTTCTTCCAAGTCTAGCCATGGCTGACGTATCTGGATTTCTGCATGTAATCCAAAGACAGATCTGGTCTACTGCATCTGATTCACCGGTTCACGTGGTTGCTCTCATGACTATCACAAGGGTTGTGCGTGGTTCTCCTAGAAACTTAGCCCAGCATCTTGATAAGGTGTGCAGAAGTAATTTTTCAGCCAGACATAATGTGATTTTGCTCATGTTTTGATGTTCATTTTGCGTCCTATGTCGATACTGCATACTGCTATCACATTCTTATAGTTCTTGTTTCCCAAAGAGTACCATTTTAAATACACTTTCTGATTTCGAACCTGTTTTTGGGTTCTTGAATCATGTTACCTTCCCTTTCCAACATGGAAGCTCTACGGTACTAAAGCTCCCAAATATGAGTAGTTTACCTGAAGGTTTTTTTTTTTGGCTATTCATGTGTGGCGTCTCTTCTTGATGCATTATTGCTCCCATATACTTACCTCATTTTTGACATACTTCCTATACCTCTTTACTTCTCATTGGCACCTTAGTAGGTTTCTTGTAGCAGGATTTACTTTCTCCTAGGAGTTTCTTCTTTCTAGTATCTCATCTCTGAAATTGCTAACATCTACACAGGTTTGCAGGTGGTCACTTTCATTCTGCTAACTATGGATCCTAGTAACTCTGTCATGCGCAGAAGTTGCCTCCAAAGTTCAATGTCAGCATTGAGAGAGTTAGTGCGTGTTTTCCCTATGGTGGCTTTGAATGATGCATCAACTAGGTTGGCAGTTGGGGATGCAATTGCAGAGATAAAAAATGCTAGCATTCGGGTTTATGATATGCAGAGGTAAGATAGCATTGTAGTTCAATTTTGAACATACATGTTGTACTGTTTGCTATGGGCCCAACCTACTGAATTTTCTTTCTTAAGTGTCCTCATCTCTTTGAGCTATTCTTGCCAAAGCTTGTTTCATTATCTTTTATATTAATTAATTTATGCGTATGATGAAAACTGGTGGAACCCTTATAAGGTTAGAAGTCTTGAATTGAGCGGATACTGAATCTCTCTTATATTTCTTGTCCCCAAGAAAGAGTTATGTTCTGCATTTTTCATTTGATACCCTGATTGATGTGATTATTTGCGGTCCACGTGTAAGATGTATGGTGGAAAAGAAAGGTTATAACTAACTGATTATATCTAATTAACATTAAACCCCCCTACAAAGGTGGATATATTCTAAATTTGACGTTTACAGAGATGGAGGGCGGCATTCACTCCAAAGAGCAAAAATCATTGTTTCAGAAATTTTGCTTCAAACTACACTTATTCAATTTCATTTTCATGTTTACAGCATGGTGAAAATAAAGGTCCTGGATGCAAGTGGACCTCCAGGACTTCCAACTTTGCTTGGAGGAGCTTCGGAGACAGCGGTCACCACTGCAATTTCAGCTTTAAGCTTTTCACAGGATGGGGAGGTTACCTACTTACCTTTTCGACCAAATTTTCATGAATTGTCATTTCATATAGCTGGCCGATATAGTAGGATGAATTGGCGTAGTGGTGGTCATTCCATGGTTCTCAGAACACGGTTAATTGATCAGTCGGTGTATTGTGAAATTATCTTTCTGAAAATCTGTCTGGGTATTTGTTTTAGTTTTATAGCACCAATGATTTGATGGATAAGTTTTTTTTTCCCATTTTTCGGGTAACAGTTTTGATTAGATGGATAGATTTTTTATTGATTACTATTAGATGGATAAATTACTCAAGGAACCAGGATCTTATCGGATATTGGTCCATTAGGAATCTTGGAGGAGAAATGGTTGTTTTCTTCCGATGCGTAAACTAGATGGAATGGCATTACTCTTTGCGTCCGTTACATTTCTAATTTTGTTATGATCTCACTCGAGTCCAACTTCATCTTCTAGGGGAGTTGGATGACCCTGGATCAATCTTTGTTTAAATGGATTGGTCATTTGCAAGATATGTTCATTGAATTTCATCCTGAACCTAATCTGGTTATGGCCGAATTTTCTCCAATTACGCCTCTTCAATTTCTGGGGCAATTCAACTGGGTCTAGCTGTTCTGGTTGCTTACTTTCTTAACTTCTTCTCCGTTTGCCTCTTTATAATAGCTTAAATTTTGGATGATAAAGAATTGTACCCACTTATCTTAGCTTAGTTTCTATGCATCATTTTACTTGCAGGGTCTGGTTGCTTTTTCAGAGAATGTGCTGATGATTAGATGGTGGTCACTGGGATCTGTCTGGTGGGAGAAACTTAGCCGGAATCTCACCCCTGTTCAATGTACCAAGCTTATTTTTGTTCCTCCATGGGAAGGGTTTTCCCCTACTTCGACCAGATCCAGCATAATGGCGAGTGCAATATCGAATGACGCTCAAGTCAATCTGCAGGTATTTTAACTCTATTCTTGTACTCCTAAACTTCACACTTCATGATAATGATTTGCTCTTTCCAATAGACTGTTTTCCAACTCTATTCTTGATTGTTGGAAGGTAACTTGGGCAATGTGCCTACTGAGATTTGACGTTTTACTTCGCTCCTTTCGGATAATCTTTCCCATTTTGTAGGAGAACCAAAGTAATCCGAGTGAAATGGATAGCCTGAAGCTTTTGATCCATCATCTTGATCTGTCCTACCGTCTGGAATGGGTTGGTGAAAGGAAAGTGAAGCTCACTCAACATGGGCGTGAGCTTGGCACTTTCCAGTTATAACCTTTTCCGCCCGGAGAATTGTTGTTGCCCTTAACTAGATGTTAGTTATACACGGGATAGGTAAATGACCTTTTTACAAAATCTTATAAGAAAAAACTGAAATGTAAAAATAGACATGTACATGAAAATATTTGATATATGAAATCAAAGGCACTCAATATTTTTGGAATTGTGTTTGAAGGTTGTTGAACTATATAATAAATAGTTTCTTTGCCCCAAATGAGTGTTCAATTTAGATTTTTGATTTTTGGATCAATCTATAGTTAAAATAAAAATATAAACCGAAGAATCATCTTGTATGATGCCATCTTGAACTTGAGTTTGTATATCGAAATATGGATATCATTTTTGTTGTTTCCTATTTCACTCTTACAAACTAAAAGAGATGAAAAGAAAGCTGGAGGAGATAATTTGTTTTTTGGTACAAGAGGAGAGAGTTAAAGGTCTAAAAGACTAGATCGGAGATGAGTAGTTCCTATAATAATATCATTATTATCAAGTCATAGTTTAGTCCTTGCTGGCGGAACTTCTAACAATCACAATCTATCTGAACCGTACGTGATTAATAACGCAACATAATCCACAGCGTAATTGACTTTTCGATTTCATGTCGAAGCTCAACAATCTGTTCATGCGCCAAAACATGAGCCTTTGAGAATTTCGGATAACAGTGTACCAAAAAGAAGCTGGAGAGCAATTTGATTATTGATTCTCTCTCAAAAATATATTCCTTATTATAAGATTTTTTTTTCTTAAGTTTCATTTTTCGTATTTTCTTAATTGAAAACTATTTTAAAATTTTTATTTTCAATTAAGAAAAAACAACAAATAAAAACATTGGGGTGCTGCTAATTATATATGCCATGTACGACAATTATTATGCATGTCTACGATTTTCTTGTTTGGTTTTTTTTTTTTTTTTTTTCTGTCAACTTTCCTAAAACATACATTTCGTAGTGAAATACATGGCACAATCACGGATTTAATTTATAGATTTCTTTACTACGGAACAATTTTTATCTACAGTTTTTTTTTTTTTCTGAAATACAAAATCCTTTCCCAGTTCTCAAATAAAAATGATGTTCTAATATCAGGTGTCAGGTAAATGGACCATTTTGAATCGGTGTCTTTCTTGTTGGCAGAGTTAAACATTACTTTTGGTTTCAATCTATGCTAACCTCCTAATTATTCAGCAAACAGAATTGCTATAATCTTGAGAGGCTTTAAATTGCATGTTGACCTTACTTAAAGTCAATTCATCATTTACACGGCTCATCCACAATTGTGGTAAATAATTAATAAATAATTATTTTTATTATACTATTTATCATTGTGTTGAGTGTGATAATATTATACGGTGTAAGATGTATAATATACTTTTTGGGATAAAAATATAATTTAAATTTTTGATGATACTAAAATTATTTTATTATAATATATTTTTACGGCGTAAATCAATATAGTAAAAAGTTGAATAAAAATATAATATTTAAAATTTATGAAATTATACTCATAATAATGTAAATCATTGGGGATTTTCTAAGCGTAAAATTTACAATCATTAACATATGTGGCACTATACGTACATTCAATTACACAATTCGAACGTTTAACTTAGTATATGTATGGACATCTTGGTTTTGGAACTTACAACTACCTAGCGAGTAGCGAGTATTTTTACAGACAAATGTTATACGGTCAAGATCTGAGGAAGTGGAGAATTTATAATTAATAATCTTTCCTTCCCAAAATAAAAGTAGTCTAATCTATAATTATACTATAACACGACATTATTTTTTTGGGACGTGGGTGTATGTGACATTAGAATCTGGAAAGAAATTGAAGTTGCTTGAGAAGTGGGCTTAAAGTCTCCATCAGCTTCTCACAAGGATGATTGTGAATGCCTTCATATGTTGTCACCACAACGCTTGTGTCTTTTGATAGTCGCTGTATTTGCTTCTTCACATTGCATGTATGATGTGTGCACCGATAATAGCTCCTTTCATTTCATATTTTGTCACACAAAAAAAAAGGACGTTACTTTATTAAAAACATATTTTGTACATATATAAATTATAAATTATAAATTACCCTCCCATAAAAATAGTCCCGCAATAACAAGACATATACATTGTCAAGCTAGCTAGATGCCTCTCACAATATATAATATATCACATCTTACATGATAAAATCCCTACGTCTACACGCCATATATAGTAAACACTCAATTTTTAGAGCTAACATCCGATGGTAATTCTGAGTTTTGAGATCAAGAAAGAAATTGAAAACACTAAAAATATATATTGTCAATTAACATTTTATAGCCATCAGAGAGATAATTATAAATTGTAATTATAAACTATAAAAGATGGAAATGAAATCTTTTTTTTTTAATACCTAGGATGAGCACTGTTCTTCACAGCTTTCTGGCCATATTTTCTCCACTTGTATCCATCATCAAGAATATCTTCAGAACTTCTAGTATGGAAAGCAATCCTTGGTGGAACATATTTTTTGGATTTACCAACTCTCCCAACCTTGTGTACCCTATTAATGTAATTACTATTTCCTAATTCGCTCATAATATTCATCGACGGTGCTAAAGGCTGTAAGCTTGGTGAGATTGGTTTTGTTATTTGTTGATGATCATAATCCTCACTACCACCAATAATATTGTTGTGAATGGAAGAAGTTGTACTAGACAAAATAGCAGCCCAATCAAAATCATGGGGAACAATTTGAGGGTTTTGCACGGGTTGGTTCAAAAGTGAAGGATCAATACTTGATTCATGAAAAGAAGGGGTACTGAAAAGATATGGAATGTTTATGTTCGGCAATGGCGGTGGTGGCGCCGCTGCCGCCGGTTCCTGTGGTGGCTGCTGTCCATCTTCCATGAACATGATGATGACTTCTTGTACGTGTAGCTAGGAAGATCAACAGAGAATTAATGTTGTTGGAATCAAAATATATTTTTTTTCTTCAAAGAATTAGAAGGATGATGATTTAGGTAGGCAGCTGGAGTTGTGGTTGTTGTTAGGAGATGTTCTCAAAATGTTTCTCATGCACAAGGAATAAACATCAGTACACACAAGAAGGAAGAGGTTCTTTATATAGGGATTTTAGGTCATAATGACTTGTGTTTGGGATGAAATCCAACAACATTACCTACCCATGATCAGTTCAACTGCCCTAATGGAAGAGAGGGAAGTAGTCTAGACTATACAAAATCAAAGGAACATAGTATATCTTTTTGTGTCACTTATGAAAGGTAGATGAATTGTACAGTTAGAATACCTTAAAATTTTGCCCTATTGAGGGAATATATAGCTAAAGAAGGTGTACATTTTAGGGTAAAATTGGATGGAGTTTGATGAATTGGTTGAGCTTGTTGTTGATTGGCTGAAATCAAGTAAAAAGTAGGGGGCAGTACGTGTGTTTTATGTGGATATTGTAGTTAAACAAACTGCTTATAGTGTAAGTAACGTGAGGTAAAAAAAAAATCAATCTTCAAATACCCTTTTGTTGTTGAAGGTTGTTTGGAAAAGAAAAAAAAAACTTGTAGCTTTCCTTTTTCTTGACCGCTGTGGCACGGAACCCTAGTTTAAAATTTCATTTGCACAAAAAAAAAAATTAAGACGAATTAATGAACTTATGGTTTAAAAAATTGGAAAATGGTGCATGCATGCATGCAAAATTGTGTTTAGGTTTTTACATTTCTTTATTCTTCGCGTAGGCCAGACAGAAATCGAAAGTATATATATGTGAGTGTAGCATAAATCAAGGTGATTTTTTTTTTTTTCTGGGATAGCAAAATAATAATTGATGTGAACTTGTTTTTTGGAACAAAATTTAATATTGATTATTTTTTAAGGATAGAAAGAATGTGTAATTAATCAATCAGATCATTTTAATTATCATTATAATCTCAAAGGAGTACTTGGTTACTTCTTGATAATTAGGGTTATCATTTTAAGAACTTTCTCTTACGGTGATTGACCTTCTATTAATGTCCTTAATAGTCTCCATGAACATAAATTCAGTGGGTATGTCCTAAACAGTTGAAAATGGGCAGATTGGTAACTCGATGAAAACCGGTAACTATTGTTTAATTTAATTACTCTAAGTTAAACCTTCAAGAAAGGTGGTTGTTAAATTAATGAATAAAGAAGTGTTTGGAATATTTTTGGGATTTAGACATTTGAAGAGGATATAAGCGGCCACCTAACACCAGTCAAATTGGAGAGTTTCGAGTCTTTTGACGTTCACCCATAAAAGAGGCTTCAAGCACAATCACACACATTCTTACATTGATTTGTTTATAGTATGTGAATCAGATGACACCTCAAGATCCACAGTTTCTAACACATTCAAGTTCTCCTTTCTTTTGTTAATTTTTTTTTTCCTTTTCTTTGTGTGTGCGTGTGTTTGTGTGCAGTCGGGGAAAAAACGTATTCACAAGGCATGTAATAGCTAGATAAATCACAATCGAAGTATCATTGTTTGCGTTAGACAATTTATCTATAAATCCCATGATTAGACTATTTAACATTCGCTTGTGAATGTTGAGTATTCCACGTCGGTAGTGGGAGAGAGTTGATATCAATATATAAGTCTATGTGTTACTCCACTCATTGCCAATTGGTTTTGAGGTGAAACCTCATGGGCTTCTATACGGTATCAAAACCAGCCTGTCAAGAGTCGGACTCCAAGCCTGATGTGATAGAACTGGTAGGAGGCGGTGACTGGGCTGAAGAAAAAAAAAAGACAAATCCAATCCTAGTAGGAGACGGTGACTGGCTGAAGAAAAAAAAAAAAGACAAATCCAATCCTGGTAGGAGGTGGTGACTGGGCTGAAGAAAAAAAAAAGACAAATCCAATCCCGAAAGAGACGTTGGGCTTACGAGGGAGTGTTGAGTATCCCATATGGGTGGTGAGAGAGAGTTGATATCAATATATAAGTCTATGGACGAGTGTTGAGTATCACATATCGGTAGTGGGAGAGAGTTGATATCAATATATAAGTCTATGGACGGGAAAGTTGATATGAGTATCCCACATCGGTAGTGAGAGAGAGTTGATATCAATATATAAGTCTATGAACTACTCATTTCATTGCCAATTTGTTTTGAGATGGAACTCTATGACTTCTATAGTGAATTAATTCGACAATTTGGGGAAAACAATGTACCATTTCGTGATTTATCTCATGATTATAATTTTCCTATTGTTTACATTAGAAGTTCGATCGAATACCACAAGTTGGGGAAAGTAACAATTTCAATTGAGATCTATAAATCTCGATGTCTCTTAATTGGTTTTATATGTACTGTATTATTGTTACTATTATCATTTTGGGTGAAATATGTACTGTATTATTTTGTATCATACTAAATTTCAGTTTAAAGTGAATTATATTTCACCAAACTATAGCTTATTATTGTGAGTTGCTAGGATGATTTCCTGAATATTCAAAGATATCAAATACTACTCACAACCATACTACATATCTTAATATTTTACACATCTTCGTCAACTCGAAAAAATTAAAAAGAGTAGTGCAAGATTAAAGAAAGAGAAGATGACCCTACAAATATTGTCTATTGGGGGAAAATTGAGAAATTTGTGGAGTATAAAATACATAAGAGGGGAAATGTACAACCCCCAATTGAAGACATGCAATATAAATTATTCCTTTCGTCCCAAAATTATTATCCAGTTTGAATTTCTATTTTTAATTTAAACAATAATTTTGGGATGGAAGTAATATGTACAAAACCCATATATATTGTGCACTCGGCTAAGGCTACCTCTCTCTCGTCCATCCCCGGCCGGTGGCGGTGGGTGGTCTATATAGAAGATTAATTTGTCACCTACAAATTAAATAGGGTGGTTTTGTTTAATTTTGACAAATACGCACTGCATCTTAAGTATACATTTTAAATTTTCAAGAATACATCAAAAGATCCCTTGAGACTTTTCAGTATATTTGACACTTGGTTCATTAATTCACAATCAATAAAAAAAAATTATTATCTTTTTGTGATTGTATATATTAATATTCATTATAAAGACACTGGCATAAAATTAATAATAATGAAAAACTTCACACACAACCCAAACAAGAAAATCTGTGGCTGCATTATTATTATTATTTATTACAGTTCTCGATGCTTTAATTTGTCGCTTACCATTTTAGTAAAACTTTTTAAGTAGAATAAACTTAAATTGGGGCTGGCCTTAATTTAATTGGCTTATTATCCTTGACCAATTTTACATTAATTCTAAAAATCCCATCACTATTAATGAACACCAAGAATCGATGTGAACGAAAGTACTCTCCAAAAACTCCAAACACCTGGCGAATCGATCGACGAGATTACCACAAACACAAATAGAGCCCGACGATCTCTTTGACATCCCTTTCAATTGTTCCTAATCCTCTTCAATAAAAACGAGATCATAGAATATCGGATTCATAAAATATAAAAGAATACAATGCTCGCTAATTAGGCATTCATCAGATCGTGCACATATATGGATGGGACTTTTTGCCTAGAGGAATCATTTTGAGTTTTTAGGCATATATAAAGTGGTCAAATAACTAAAGGGGACAAAAATTAAGAGTTGGCTATGGGTGAAAATAACAAAGGCCAGGAAATTTAGAAGGAAAGTCCATCAGCAAACCTGTTTAATTTGAGCAAACAACTCCTGGAAAAATTGACTTTCTTCTCTATTGTGCTGGTTCGGATTCCTATCTTAATTTTTATAAAATCAGTCTTTAATAAATGTTACATTTTATTTTATTTTTTAATAAGAATATCAGAGATCAATGTGTATTTTCATTTCGTGAATACTGAAACATATTAATTAGGACAATTGTACGCAATGATAAAAAAATTGTAAATTGAATTGATGGTTTATGAGATGAATGCTGCATTAATCCCAATATAAGGCGATTATACTTTTCATATTTACATCGATCCTTAAACATGCTAACCTTCTCATCAATTCTGCAAAGAGAACAATTTATAAATCACATCAGAAGAAAAAGTGGACTAAATCTGTAAAGAAGGGAGGAATTTTCCTTTTTCTTTTTCTTTTCTTTGGTTACATGCATACGTACAATGTGACATCCCATGTTTCCATATCGATGGATCGTCCTTTTTCTAGTTAGATTTGCCCATGCATGCAGTTAGAAATGTGAGAAGAAATAATATACGTTCCGGTCTCAAAATCATTTTTATATTTGTGGGATAGGAGTAATTATTTCTAACATTCTGATATAATGTTGCATATATGTGCATTAATTGTGCAAATGGCTAGTCATATATTTTTCTAAACTCAATTTATTTGTTCACTTTAATTTCTTGAGGAAGCTGATAATTTAGCTTAGGTATTCTACACAACTTTTTGCGCCAAATTGTGAACAAAAGAAAAGGGTTCGTTCTCCAATTAAGGAACTGATCAAAAGTAAGAAAAATTTAAAGGCAGTCTTTTTTTTCTCTCTTTTCCATCTTTTGGGGTGGGAAATCAATTTTGGTACAGTAATTACAAAGAAAATCTGGGCAAGAAGCCACGAAATGATGTCAAGGGGATCGAGGAAGGGAGGTTGTTAATTTTTATTTATTTTTTTGAGGAGGGAGTTTGTTATTATTTTATGAGATTAGAGTCAATTTAGGGAATGGGCTAGATATGTAGGTATATCTCTTTGATATCATAAAGTGATGTAAATGAGATTATGCTTTTAGTCCAATGATGTACATGTATTTCTTTGGTACCTTTTTAAGTTATCACGCCACCTGCAATCGACTTTTAATAAACATATTATTATACCTAATTAATTTGATTATTTACTATGTAGTGCTATGATTCTACATTAATCTGGATTCGGAAAAGCGATAACTAATGATGAACTAAGGGTTATTACATTTGTATCGTGATTCTACGCTCACGAGTTGGCTTTCTTTACTAAGAATAACTCATCAATATTTGTAACGTGGTCTAATCCACCTTCTTTTTGTCAAATGTAGTTGGACGTTTCCCAACAATCCCAATAACTTTTATTTTATTTTCAAAAAAGGGGGAGAGGTTACTACATTGTTATAATGTTTGTAAACTTAAAAATTTCATTCGTGCCAAGACACTGAACAATGCCCAAAAAATATACAATAGAAATCCCAGTTTCATCAACATTCTCAGATCAAGAAATTAAAACATTAGATGCTCTCCATAGCTAAAGAAAAATCAAACCTAAATAACAACGAACATTATTATTCAGGAGTAGAAACTGACAATAATAATTGCTGTTTTTTCATTCATGCAGTTAGTTAGTTTAATACTGCTCCAATGTGTTTTTTTTAAAAAAAAAAAGAAGAAAAGGATTGAAAACTAGTTGCCTGGATGAATCAAAACTGTCACTTTCTTTCAAAATCTAAACAAGAACACTAGGATTCACTCAACAAAGATACCCGTAAACGATGACATAATATTGGTTTGCCGTTTTTTTTTAACCAATTTATTTGTACAATATATTCATGCAGCTTAACGATATGCAACCAAAAAAAAAAAAAAAAAAAACTCACATTTGGTAGCTCTATAAATACCAACAATGTAGCAAACCTTAGGTACACAAACATCATTACCCAAGAAACCAAAAGAGAGGGAGAAAAAGGGGGTCAGAAATTAGTACGTATAGCTTCTTGGGTTCATTTCATTCGATCATGATGCAAAGAAGAGGTTGTGGTAATTCAGCCATGAATGTCACTGTTCTATTCCTTCTGTGCAATATGATCATCAATATCGGCAATATAACAATAACGTTAGCCGCTGATAATGTTGATCAGAAGTTATCATCATGCGGATCTTCAAACCACTACAAAGAGGCACTTGAAAAAGGTATCCTATTTTTTGAAGGACAAAGATCTGGAAAATTGCCACCCACTCAACGGGCTAGGTGGAGGGGTGATTCCGCACTCAACGATGGCAAAGCTCAGGATGTAAGTAATTTTTTTTTTTTTTTTTTGTGAAGTTTGAATTTATATTTCATTCAAAATGTACTCCCTCCGTCTCATAATTATTGTCCAGTTTGGGCTTTCATTTTTAATTCAAATTGTATTAAAAATGAAATCTCAAACTGGACAATAATTTTGAGACAAAGGGAGTATAAAAATTAAAAACGGATTAAATTAGATAATTATTTTTGAACAGAGCGAATAGTATTTTCTTTTCAACTATCACTATTTCTTTTGAGATTGTGATTCGAGGTTTCGTGATCTCGAAATCGTAATCCGGTGCTTTATTATTACTACCATATTATGATTGAAAGCACGTGTTTTCATTCATTTACACATCTCCTTTTAATTGTTACGTCTTTTACTCTATCAATTAGAGTATTACTGCCAAAAGAATTACTGTAGATGTTTTTTCATTTTACAATATCACTCATATACATGATCAACTTTTAAGCTTTTTACCTTTTTTGTAGTTTCCAATTTACTTATGCCAGTTGCTGAATGTGATCAGGTGAACTTGACCGGAGGATACTACGATGCCGGCGACAACGTGAAGTTCACGTGGCCTATGGCATACACAGTTACCTTATTGAGTTGGGCCGCGATTGAACACCAGTGGGAATTGTCTTCAGCCAACCAACTTGAGTACCTCCGCAGCGCAATCTTATGGGCCACTGATTACTTACTAAAAGCCCAAGATTCTCAGAGCTCGCTTTATGCTCAGGCAATCACATTTTTCCTTTAGCTCACTGAAATTTGGAATATCTAAATTCAAATGATTTACTGCAACCACAAAATACGATCTGATTGTACACTTTAAAATGCAATAATATGATTCTATGGACACCTTGAATTTTTTTGCAGGTAGGAGATGGAACTAGAGATCATCAATGTTGGGAAAGGCCAGAAGATATGGACACTCCAAGAACCATTTACAAGATTGATAAGAAAACTCCCGGAACTGAGGTTGCTGCTGAGGTTGCGGCCGCCTTCGCGGCGGCTTCTTCCGTCTTCAAACATACTAGTCCGAGATATGCAGATAGGTTGATGCACCAATCTAAGGAGGTAACTAATACAAGTATAGCTTAAAATGTATACAATTGATCTTGTTTAAAAGTGGTAATTAACATAATGTGTGACTTGTGGAACATGTCTTGTAGGATAAGTGATCATATTGAAAGTTGCATAAACACTATATATGATGCCTAATCCACTTGCATTTTTTTTTTTTTTTGGGTTCCCCTCAGATGTTTCAGTTTGCAATTACCAACAAAGGATCTTACCAAGGTTCATGCCCTTACTATTGCTCTTTCTCTGGATATGAGGTATTATTATTATTTTTTCTTTTTTTAAAAATACAGTGCGTCTCATTTATTGCTTTCGCAATCATTTCAATATATTTTGATGATCGGTTATTGTAAATTTTATGTGAATTCAGGATGAGCTGTTGTGGGCAGCCGCTTGGATATATAAGCTAACCGGAGAAAAATATTACTTAAGATATTTAACAGCCAATCAGGCCTGGAGTCACCCAGTCGCGGAATTCAGTTGGGATAACAAATTTGCAGGAGTCCAAACTTTAATGGCTAAGGTAATAAGATTTTGAATTTCCTACTATTAGTATAAATCAAATTATAGAAGTTTGATTGATCATTGTTGGACAACAAATAATTAAATTCGTGATTAAGACTACTACCTTATCAATTTATATATATATATATATAGTTAATAGTAGTATATATTGTGTACCTAATATTTTTTTTCTCTTCTTCTTCTCCTTTTTGTGTGGCAGGAGTTTTTAGCTGGAAATATGAATTTGTCTAATTACAAAACCGATGCGGACGCTTTCGTATGTGCAATGATGCCAGGGAGTGGCTCTTCTCAGATTAAGACAACCCCTGGTATATATAGTTCTTTTTTAAATAAAGTAGTATTTATGTGCAATACAATAAGATGGACTTTAAAATGGATGAGAGTCCAAACATTGAAAGTGTTTCATTGTGCAGGAGGACTTCTTTACTCTAGAGAAAGCAGCAACATACAATATGTCACAGGTGCGGCAATGATTCTCCTTTACTATTCCAACACATTGGCTGCTTCTCGTTCTGGCTCCGCTCAGAAAGTTCAATGTGGTTACAAATGTTTCACCCCGGCCGAAATCACCGCATTTGCTAAGTCACAAGTACACTTAAAATCATTTTACTGTCTCTGTTATTATTCTTTCCGTGTCGATTACATCTTCAAGATATTGTCACTGCTGAGGTGCTAATCCATTTAAATGTGTTTATTTGATTTTTCAGATTGATTACATATTGGGAGACAACCCATTGAAGATGTCATACATGGTGGGATTTGGGAAGAGATTTCCAATGCAGTTACACCATAGAGGTGCATCCATCCCTTCCATATATGCGCATCCAGAAAAAGTGGGCTGTTCCAATGACTGGTACTATTCAACCATGCCCAACCCAAACGTCCATATTGGAGCCATTGTTGGAGGCGGCCCAAATGCAAATGACCAGTTCATTGACTTGAGATCGGATTATTCCCACTTAGAGCCCACAATTTACACCAACGCAGCTTTTGTTGGATCTTTGGCTTCTCTGCTCGGTCTTGTGAGAGAAGGAGCTGATAATTGCTTGTTAATGCCTCATCAACAGCAGAATAGTACTACTACTAATAATACCAGCAGCAGTTACAGCTCTTAATTCTATTATTGATCAAATTTCGTAAAAAAGCATTTACATCTTAGATTGCTGCATATATGAAACAATATATTTGTTACATACATCTGTACTGGAAAATATGCGCAATAAAATGGTTGTGTAGTAGTAGAGACACCGCGGCCATGAGAAAATATGTATCGATTGAGTTATATGTAATGCAATTGATCAACAATAATTGAGTTTAATTATGTCAAATTTCTTCTGTGGTATGGTCAGCAAGCTAATTATTATTGTTATTATTATTAAAAGTCCTTGACTTTGTTGGCATGACTTTGCTTTGTGAATACCATTATTATAATGTTATGCCTAACAGCCGTAATTTGGTCGATTTCAAGGGGCTACACTAAATGAGGAACGGCCCTAATGTAGTACAAATTCCTACCATGGTTTATTATATTTTACCAACAAACGCAATAAGTCGTGTCTCCCATTTTGCAACGTGGATTCTCCTTGGTCATTTGTACCTTATATATCCAAGCAAATAAGCTGATACCAATATTACTACAATGTTTCCTTCGCCTAAAGAAAACAAGTTCGTTTGTTGAACTAAAATGATATGGATAAATGTGAATTTCATTTTTAGAACGACGGGAACATCAATATGTGAAGGCAAGAAATACTACTCCTCCTGTCCAATAATTATTGTCCAGTTTAGATTTTTATTTCTAGTTTAAATTGTATTAAAAGTGAAATCTAAAACTGGACAATAATTTTGAGACAAAGGGAGTACTGTTTTCATTTTGATGAGTTATCCAATTTGTTTTTACTTTCTATGACTTCCAGTGTACTAACTATTAAACACAAACTCAACGAATACACTGCAAAAAAAATTAAATTATACCATTATGTTTAATTCCTAACAAGCCAGCTTATATGACTTGTTAATTATTACAGGCCGGGGCTGTGTACAATTCGTGTAGATGCATGATTCCTTCCCTGAATCATTTCGTGTCACTTAATTAGTTACAAAAAATGGCTAATCAAAAACTAAAAAGTGTATGTATTGACACATCTAAGAAACAGTATATAGAGAAAACTCATACTTTTGATGATTTGCTACAAATAGTGAGATTTAGAAGAAACATTTCCAGATGATGATGAAGAGTGCCCATCCCTCAATTCTGAGACAATTCCGTCCAAATCATTCAAGCAAGAAAAGAAGTCGTCGTCGAAAATGCTTTCCGGCCGGCTGGTCATCATCAGCTCATCCGCCATTTCCATTTGATGATGATGATGAGATTCTTCCTCTTTAATCTGTTTCATAACAGATTCTTCTTCAGCAAGAAAAGAGTTTGGAGTTGGAGAATAAGTAGTACCGCATATTCCAGAATCTCCACTTTTTGCACCTAAATTCGGGTTTGTAGTAGTAGTAGTAGTACATAAGGAGCTTTTCGGGTTGCTGCCAAACTTATGCCTGATGGTTCCGGCAAGAGCGTTCCGGCGAGTTGGCTGGCTATGGCAGTGCTCGGCGGTGTAGGTTAAGATGTATATGCCTGGATTTGTGCAGCTTTGTTCCACTTGCTTCCTTGCTAAGCATCCCTTTGAACTACTACACCTATAATAACTCCTGTTTTCAATATTCACACCCAAAAAAAGTTAACACAATCAGCTTATACATGTTCTTGGAATTTTTTTTTTATAAAAAAATTCATTGATTCAAAATACACTAAAAAATCACTGAAATAAATTCATGTTACTATACCTTGGATAGGGTGAGCCCTTAATAGGTTTCTGGCCATATTTTCTCCAAGCCCACTTATCAGAAGTGAGTTCTTCAGCGGTTACTTGCATCACAACTCTTTTGTGTTGATTTTTTCTGATCATTACATAATATACACATTAATTTCACTATAAGTTTTCCCATTACAAAATGCAAAACAATATCCAGACTCTAACGAAGTTGAGAATATACTGGTTATGTTGTTCTTGTTAGTTGTTACTGTATTGAAGATGAAAAAAAAAAAAGAGGAACAAAAACAAAAACCCTCCTCTAGATCCATCTTCAATTAACTTCAATTATGCAAAAGTTGACTTATAAGCTCATAGCCAAAATGAAGTAGGAGAGACAGTTTAGTTACCTCTTCTTGTATTTAGGCACATATGCAGTTGGAGAAACAGTTGAAGAGTTATCCACATGATCAGACACCTTCTGACAAACTTCTTGAAATGGTTGATGATTAGGTTCAGATTCTTGTTTCACTTCCATCTTCGCAGAAAAACTGGAGGAATTATCAGTACAAGTAGGGGCAGAAACTGGGCTAACAACAGCTTGAGAAGAAGGTGAAGAATACTCATAAGAAACTGAGCAAAAGGGCTTGTAAAGTTCCTGCAATTCATCTGTTAAGATGGATGAAGCAGTATCTAGAAGACCAGGGAAATTGAAAAAAAGGCTCTGATGATGATGATGGCCATCATAATAATAATCTTTTGGCATCTCCATGAAATTACAAGAATTTTTCTGTAATTCACTTCTTCTTGAGGAGGAGGAACCTCTAACTATGGCTTGCAAACCCCAATCTTCAAGCTTGACAAAATCTGCCATTTCTGAGAAGGATATAACTACCTAATATTGTTGATGACAGTGTAAACTCTCTATTATTTAAATAAATGCTTGTGGGCAGGATTTAATAAAAAAAAAAAAAGAAAGAAAGGGAAGATATTTAAGAGGGAAAAAAAATATAGCTGGCGCTGACTTTGGTTTTGCTCAAGGCCAAATTGGCATGGTGGGAGAAGAAAGATAAGGGATATTCAAAGAAGAAAAAATGGATTTGAGGGTTGGCGCAGTATTCTTCTTTATTCTTTAGTGTGATTAAAACTCTAAAAAGTCCATCCACTTTGTAGGTTTTTTTTTCTTAGTTCATTTTCAGACTGGTATATACTATATATATTGTTATTATTATCACTATACACAACCTTTATACACACGAAAAGGGGAAAGAATTGGTCATGGTTTCTGGGTTGACTTTGATTAAAAGTCAAAGGGGCAACGGTGCAAGCTGGACAAAATACACGCAATCGCCACTTTTTTTACTCTCTCTCTCTCGCCTATTGGCATTTCACTTTCAGAAGCTATTGCTGACTAGGCTATAGGGTATCCATTAGGCTATATTGTGGTGAAGAAGCCTAATGTTGGGGTATGATACATTTCTCTCCTTTTGAAAAAAGTGTATTACTTTTGAACCCTGAAATTACAATATTTGACCATTTTGATTCGATTGAGTTAAAAATCCTTGATCGGAGTTCAATGATGAGCTCAACATCTACTATATATGCATACTTTTTGAAAGGGAATTGAATCGAAAAAGAGTTGAATTTACTCAAATGAAATGTGTATGTAACAGATGGTAGTGTAGAAAAATTTAGCAAGGCCATCAGGGCTCTTGGAAAAATGATAATAAACACCATTTGTTGTTTAAAATTATTCTGTTAAGTGCTTCAAAATAACTGGGAACAGAAACTTGATTTTTTTTAATAATGAAGTGGTGTTGAAACTGTAGTACAAAATCTAAACAATGAAAGTTAACTTATTACTTATTCCGTAATTACTTAATAAATTCAGTATTTTTAATTTAGAATTAAATATTACATTTTATCAAACAGCCCAAACTAAAACAAACATATAGCAAGAAAATGATAAAAGGCAATTCTACATAAGTTTAGGGATTATTAGGTTAATTTACCATATCCAATACGAGTGGAGAGGGACAGATAACAAGTGTGCTTATTCGACGTCATGCTTGTGTATGATGAAGGACTTTCAAATGCAAACAAAGAATTTTTTATATTAAAAAAAAAGGATGCTCGAAATAGAAAATTAAGCATAACATTACGTAATAAAAGTAATGGTTGCTAGCTTGCTCTCTGATTTGTTCGTACACTTTGGTGTACTTTGGTAGTAAGAACTAAGAACTCAAATTAAGAACAAGGATGAAATAAAAATCATATTATAAATTCCAAGTGACTGAATCTATACACCAAGGGTTGATTAATATTATACCAATTATAGGTTGTTAAAAGAATTACAAGAAAAGAACTAATCCGACCTTCCACGTAACTACATCTCTTAAGTATCTAATCTAAGTATATAACATCATTTCTTGTTAGATTTGATCCATATACAGACGCGCAAAATGGAGTCCTTCAAATTGACTCTCTTACGAAGTGGAGATTAGTACTTTCTTGTGTACATAGTACCAGAAAAAGATTAATACTTACTACAATTGTGATCATTTTTTTTTCTTTGGCATATAATTTCCAGGGTATTCGAAGTCGCAATAGGGATATATTTAGTGTATTAAATTGTAGACACTTTTATTTCCAATACAAAACTAGAAAAGCGATCAATTCTACCTTTATACGACAAAATGTTAGCATTTAGCAATTACGAATTGCTAATTATATTGCTCCCCTATCTCAAAATTTAATAATGTACTACTCTTTTCGTCCCAAAATTATTGTCCAGTTTGGATTTTCATTTATAGTACAAAATAAACTAAAAGTGAAAACCCAAACTAGATCATAATTTTGGGACAGAGGGAGTATATTTTTGGAATATAGGAGAGGAAATGAATAAGTGATGCTAATAATAATAATAATAATAATAATAATAAAGCGATGCTGATTTAGAATCAAACCCACTAATTTGATTTAAAGATGGATATATAATAGTAAAAAGCATTTCAAATTTTCTTCAAGGCATACAAGAGATAATATGTTCTTAAAGAGAATAAGTAATCTACTAATGAGTTATGCACATAATTTAATCATAAACTCACAAAAAAAAAAGTGAATTAAGTTGTTATAGACTAACTCGTAAACTGTTTTTCGGAAGAGAGAGATAGAGATCGACAAATATAACCACACGAAATACACATATGATCATCGGTGTCATTTTAGAAAAAGAAATAGAATCCCAACGGATCAATCATGAAACCTAGCACCCACAACTGAGTGATACATAATGTATTTTCCTCATACCTAGCTACTAATCATTTGGATCTAGTTTTTGGGTTGGTATATTTTAGAAAAGTGATACTGGAACTCCATGAAATGGCATGGGACACCACATCCCTAAATCACAAACGAACCCCAACCAAAGTTAAGAAGATAAGCAAAGATCTCAAAACCCATCGCTCTTTTTATAAAATGGGATTTGATAACGATGATGCACGTTTCCAACTTGGTGTTGTGGCGCGCGATTTCACGCACACACCCGCACTATCGCCATAACGGACTATTGTATACTATATTTATCTGTCTTAAAATGATTTTCATTTTTAGTATTCTATCTGTTCCAAAATAAAAATAATCTACATTGAACTTAAAATTTTTACAATTAAAATAATATAAATGTCAAAATTCGGCGTAGAGTATTTTTTTAAGACATGTAATATAAAATTTTACAAGAAATGAAAATTCAAACTGGACAAGTATTTTAGAATGGAAAGAATATTACTCCATTTGTTCCACGAAAATAATTTACATAGTACATTGTAAATTACTTTCTCTGTTCCACAAAAATATTATAAGTTGAGTTTTAAATTTTATATTAATTTTACTACATCTAAAAACTCGATATGGATTAAATAGAAAGAGTATAAAATATCTCACATCCTTAATTATTTTTATGGGAGAGAAGAAGTACTTTCAACTTGCTACATATTCACAGCGTGCAATTTGGTGCGGGGGGGAAAGAAAATCATACCTAGGTTTGAAAATAGTGGGCATAAAATTTAAAGATTGAACATGACGTTTTACTTCAAGCACTGGGAACTAATTATGAAGTGGATCGATGGACTTTCTTGAGTGTGCCTTTTTGGTCCATTTTTTCATCACCGTCGTCTCGGTTGGTCCACTGTGTATATGGAATGAAAACGCATATATATTCTTTTCTTCTCAAAATAATTATTTTTGATACTGAAATTTTTTTTTTTATTATTTGACTCGTAATATGCTAATACTTACAGAAAACTCGATCTACACATAGTTGATTTTGTAGCCCACATTCCCCATATTCTCCATTCTTCTTCTTTGGCGTTACATTGGATATATACCTTTTTGGTCTATTCTTATTTGTCTTTGTTCATAGTTTGCCATTATCTCCATGCCCTACTCTATGACGTCTCTGTTAACTTAGGGGGGAAAAGATTTATGCATGCTTCAACATTTCGCATATATATATTTATATATTTTTTTTAAAAAAAAAGAAGTGAAAAAAGAAAGGAAAGTTAAAAAACATTAAAGGTAACCAACCTTCCCCCTCATTTTACATAAGCCATCATTAACCACACGAATACTAGCTGTAATTTCGAATTCATAACAACAATTTATCTGTAGTTAAGAAAATATATTCCCTCTGTCTCAAAATTATTGTCTAGTTTGATATTTCACTTTTAGTACAATTTGAACTAAAAATGAAAACCCAAACTAGATAATAATTATGGGACGGAGGGAGTATATAAGAGGCTAATAGTAGAGGAGCAGTACTAACTTTTTACCTAATTACATGTTAGGCAAACATGCATTGTGACTTGGTTGATATTTTAGATATCATCATTAGTAAAGATACAAATTAGAGATGAATTTGTAAACATACCTATTATTACTCATGAGTTATTATGTATCCTGATATGCTATTACTTGGAAAAAGTTTTAACAAATCGTTTTCACTATATATAGCTAGAAAAAGGAGAAAAAGTAATTATAAATAGGGAAATTGGCCAGGTCAAAATTCATAGGGGGCACCCATAGGCCAATAGATAATAGTTCTTTGATTTAATTAGGGATGTCTACATTGCATGCTGGAAGTCCAAATCGCCTCAGAAACCGCGTTTCTCCTTACGTACTTTAGGCCGATCATTAAGTAATTAGTAGATAGATTAATTAAATTACCCAATATCTATCTCATTGTCAACACTCTACTTAATTAATTCACTTAATTTCCTCAATCGTCACTTAAAACCAGCTACTCGTGACTTTTTCCAATTTGTTTTCATGTTTAGATGTACCAACATATGAGAATTAAACCATGACTGAAACATAATGTAATCGGTGTTAACATAATGCAATCGGTATTTCCTTCTCACTGTATGTAAAAGTATAAATCTTTTATTATTTTAGGCACAAATCTCCTTTACTGTACTGAAAAAACGATCACTCCTGACTTTGTTTTTTCTCTTTTTTCTTTTTCCCTATCACTCCTTTTATATGCCTTTGGTACCCCTAATATCACCCCAACAATTCGTAAAATAATTATTGCAAGATTTGCACGATTACATACTGATTTGATTTATCCACAGCATGCTGTCATAATATTCACAAAGGCATTAAAAGTAGCAAAGAAATAACAAACCAAGGCTTACACAAACTTTGGCTGCTGTCCTTGACTTAATATTTCAAAGGAAGTTCTTTGCCTCTTTCATTGGTTTGGATTAAAAGGCCACTCCAATATCGATATTCCATCACAATCACATTATTGCTTCAATTACGTAAATATATATATACAGGACTATTGATTTGCATTATACTGTGTACCTCATTAAGTTCCGTACTTATAATTCAAAGGTCAAAGTTAGGTTGGGGAAACGAGAAAAATAAAATAAAATTAGAAGGTCAAAGCCACTTTTTAAAATGTTATCCCATATATAAAAGGATGAGAACAGGATGATGTGTACAATCAATATAAATAATGTAAAGTGACGATAGTTTCTCAGCCTAAGCGTGACAAACCAACCAAAAAAAAAACAAAAAAAAACAAAAATAAAAAGAAGAAGAAGAAGAAGAAAAGAAAAAAAAAAGAAAAAAGAAAAAGAGGAAAAACAGGGAGATATAAATTTCTCTAAGTGGGGGGATCATTCTACTTTTATTTCAATCAGCTAAACTAGTACTCTTTCGTTCCCAAAAAAATAATTTATTTTATCATACTGATTTGTTTTAACAAATTCACTTTCGAAAAAAATAAACAAAGTTACATGAACATGTCAATGATATGATAATCATTACTTGTATCAAAAATTGAAAATTTATTTATAAGATGGTGATAGAATCGCTAATTTACATCTCTCTAGCTTATTATCTCCTTATCTTAGTTTTGGAATAATGCATTTGACCGGATTCTTTAGAAAAAAAATATTTGTTCAAAACTATTGCACTTCGTTACTCCAAAAAAAAAAAGAAAAAAGAAGAAGAAGTTATTGTACTAATAACCGCTCTTACTTTCGGACCGTATCGTGGGAAAAGCCACTATACTGGAAAAGAGACCCAAGGAACCTGCCCTTGACGCTATTTAAGCCCAATTCAAAAAATGCAGCCCAAATCAGTTTAGCTCAGTGATAAATATTAACGAGTTACCCCAACTCCCGCGCTGACTCACCGTTTCAAAAGTTAGGAGCAAAATGGGAGAGCTCTGCGAATCTTCAAATTTCTTCTCCGATCAACACCTCTGCTACGCTGATATTCTCCCTCCCGCCGAGGCAATTACGACACCACAAAAATTCACTTCAAACAAATCTTTTTTCTAATTTTGTTTTTTTACGGTGAATTTTATGTGATCTGCAGGTTCGAGCTAGAATTGAAGTGGCGGTCCTCAATTTCTTAAAGGTTCTCACATCGGAAAACCCAGCCATCTCCGATCTCCCACTGGTTCGTTTTTTTTTTTCAAATAATTTAGAAGAATTAGCGTGATTTTTTAATTTATTTCTGGGTGAAATTATGGATTACAAGGTTAGCTTGTGAGTGTAAATCAAATTTCTGCTGATCAGAGTGATTTGGGGGGAAAAAAATTTTTGCTCAGGTCAGTAGAAATTCAAGCAATCGAAGAGTTTGCCATGGATTATTAACCGATGTTTCACGGATATTTCTTGCGAAATCTCTTTGTAAAAGATCCATAATGAGAGAAAATACCGCAAAATCCTTTGTCAGAGGTAATAATAGCTAATATGAAATGGATATATGCATACATTTCGTCTGAATTTATGGTCTAGGGTTAATGTCATTGATTCGCTGTGATTTCTGTATAATGAATAAGGATTATTGGTGGTTCTGGATCTGTTGTAGTGTGGAAGGTGATGGAGATGTGTTACCAGATTCTGAAGCAAGAAAAGCGAGTAACTCAGAGGGAATTGTTCTACAAGTTGCTCTGTGATTCGCCTGATTATTTCCCTTCTCAGTTGCATGTCAACAGAACAATCCAAGGTCAATTTCTTCACCCTGTTAAAACTCAATTTCAGAGCACTTTTCGATGAATCATCTAAGCTCTGTGTATAGTGTGGATCTTGTTGAGCTTGTTTTTTTTATGTAATTATTCGTCTTTCCAATCAGATTTAGTGGGACTACTTCGATGCAGCCGTTACAGCCTGGGAATCATGGCATCCAGCAGAGGAGCAGTTGCCGGCCGCCTATTGCTTCAGGCATTTTATCATTTGATACTCCCAGCCATTAGAATTTCAAAATTCTAACATATAAATGTGCAATACGTGCTTTATTATTCTCTGATCACTCATATAACTGTGCAGTATGAGCTTTATTGTGTCTTTGAAGATTGGATGAATTTAGTTGCCTTAGAAGATTGCCTATCAAACTCAATATCCTGAGAGCTAAACCTTGTGAAGAAAACAAATTTGATTCCTATCATCGTAGGTTATTAGGTATTTACTTATGGTAGAAGATGCTACTTACATTTCTTTATATACTGAATAGGAGCCAAACAAAGAGGTTGTGGACTGCTCTTCTTGTGGATCTTCTGGGTATGAAATTTCTGGGGACCTAGATTTGCTGGAGAAACTAATCATGAAGACAGATGCTAGATACATCATTGTGGTGGAGAAGGTGTTTTCTTGTTTATATATTCCTTGTTAACTGTAATGGCCATTTTTTCTTGTCTCCAACAACTGAGGCTTCTGCTGATTCATTACCTCCTTTTCAGCATGCTATATTCCAGAGGCTAGCTGAGGACAGGGTATTCAATCAAATTCCCAGCATTTTAATCACAGCCAAAGGGTACCCAGATATAGCAACAAGGTTATTTTACTACTAGCCAATAGCCTCAGTTAAGAGTGTATTGTGGATATGTCGTTCACTGAACATCTTCATATGCAAAGCAGGTTATTTCTGCATCGCATGAGTAAAGCTTTCCCCGAGATGCCTATCTTAGGTCTGGTTGACTGGTATGAACAACTTCTTGGTTAAGGACCATTTCCATTGTTAAGCTCCTATTTAGAGAAAACGATCATTTCCATTGTTAAGCTCCTATTTAGAGAAAGCTTTCCCCGAGATGCCTATCTTAGGTCTGTGGACTTGGTTAGGAACCCAGCTGGATTGGCAATACTGTGCACTTTCAAGTTTGGAAGCATAGGAATGGGTCTTGAGGCTTACAGATATGGTAATCTTTCCGTTAAGCAGTTGATTTTGATTCCAACAAATGTTGGAGTCTGTTGATGCTTACTGAATTTGATGTATTCATCAGCTTGCAATGTAAAGTGGCTGGGATTGAGAATGGATGACATCAATCAACTAGTGCCTGAAGAATCTTTAGTCCCATTGAAGCCAAAAGATCTTCAAATTGCTAAAAGCTTGGCCTCTTCTGAGATATTGCAGGTAAAAATTTGCCTAACATAGTAGCGCAACTGTGCAGATTGACTCTTTATGCGATGCTAATTTTGAAATTAATGTCTTTCCATTTCTCTGTTTAGGACAACTACAAAGAAGAGTTGGCAACAATGGTTGAAAATGGTCTCCGAGCAGAAATTGAAGCTCTTTATTTTCACGGGTACAATTTCTTGGGGAAGTACCTAGCAACCAAAATCGTGCAAGGAGATTACTTATAATTTGTAATTACCTTATGTCAAACTATGCCCCTTTATCTTCCAGTAGCTTTTGTTCTATGTTTCCAAATTCATTATCCATCTTGGACAAACTAACCAATGTACATTCACAGAGTAGATCCATTCCATCACCGTGTATTTAAATCAGATGTAGACTTATTAAGATGTTGCAGAATTAACTCCACAAGCAAAACTTTGGAAAGAAACGCGGAAATATATCTGGAACATATGATGCGATACATATATATAATCCCTTTAAGCGGCAATGTTGGCTATATAACTTCAAAAATAAAATGTATACAATACATAACATCAATATTCCCCACAACCTTTCCATCTTACTGTCAAAATTGCAGCTATTTGCCAGTCGTGCTTATATGCTTAAAATGAACTGATCTAAGTATCAGACTATCAGTGATCTATAGAGACCTACGAGATTGAAAATGATCATAATGGTAACTATTAACTAAGGGGAGAATACTCAAACAATCCAAAAGAAGATAACCACAACACTAATTTATATCATCCTAATTTCTCAGCAGCAATGTACACATTGTTACATGCACCTGGAATGTTGTATCTACTCAAGTTTCTTGGATGACAAAGATACTCTCTTTCCCTCCACAACAAACTTGCCATTTCCATCGAGCTGCCAGAAAAAAAAAAAAAAAAAAAAATCAGTTACAATTCGAGCTACAGGCATCAATTGATGGTATCTCCATTTTACCAGCATTAAAGTCATACCTTTTGCTTTAAGTAAGCAAGCGCCTCCTTTTTAGAGGAAAATTTTGAGAAAACATTGGACGAATGTTCATCAACAAGAACTTTAAGCTGCTTAAGCTTTAATGACTCTCCCGGAGCCTGCCACAGGAAATCAAATAAGAAACCGAATCTTAATCTTAAACGAGTCAGCATTGTTAGGGCATAAACCTGTTGAAGGAGCTGTCGGCACAGCTTTTTCAGTTTCACTTTTGAGCTGTCATTCTTGTCCGTTGATTCATCATCACGTTTTCTTTTAGCAGAAGAACGTGAATCAGTGGAATCCTCTTCATCACTATCATCAAAGGAAGTCTTTTTACCCTTAAAGTAGACCCCAGCAATTTTCTTCGTTCGGTCTTTGATCCCAAGCCCTTGTTTACCAGAAGTGGCTTTATCCTGAAAAGAAGCAAGTTAAAGAACTTCCAGTTTCAATAAAAACTAAAGCTTCATTTGTTTAGTCTTTCTTTCGTATGCATTAAACATAAATCCTGCAGCAACCTACCTTTTTATGAAAGAATATGAGGTAAGAATGCGCATTCAACTTGCAGATTACCACTTACGGCTGTCTAATGAGTTGCCATTTCCTTTATATTTAACATCCAACAGACAAATTATCTTCAACATCTAATGCATGGGAGCCACATGTTTTTTTTGGGGAAAAAAATTCATTTTCCAAAAGTTTAAACCACTTATTCAGGCAAATATGCCATATATCATTTCTTGTTTCCTCTCTCTTCAACCTCACTCCCCTTGCCCTCCACATTAGAATGAGGAAAGAGTAACTAAACTTTGATTAAACAAATGAACACATACTTGGACGAGATTATAAAGATTTTCTTGATCCTCTTCATGGAATGCAACCCTTTCATTGCCATTTTCATTATTTTTCATTAACTTCTTCCTCCTAGCTTCAGCACCAAGGAAACCACCAGAAACAAATCCCCATTTAAAACCCCACCACTCAGGTGAAACAACTTGATATTGTTCTTCTGCTTTTCCTGCATTGAGAATTAGACTTGTAAGTTACTAGCTTATTTTGAAAATTGAAAGTGGTTAACAGAATAGGAAAGTTGGTTGACATAGACCAAAAAAGACAGTGCAGTAAAGAATTCACGTAGTAGCAAAAAGTGATTTATAGAAGCAGGAGGTCTAATTCAAAAGATCACACTCCAAACATCTTTTGCAGTCAAGCCACATAACATGACATCTATCTGTTCATCAAGGATTACATTTTAGGTACACCAAAAAAGATACAATAAAAGATGTCTACTCAGCCATCCAAATACCTGACTTTTCTTTTTGTTTTTTGAAAAGGAATACCTGACTGAAAATGGACTAGGTTTCCCATTAAAGACAAAAGAAATCAACATAAAACAAGAATTGAAATGAACAGATCCATCATTACCCAAAGGAGATAAGCCAAAAAAAAACTTTCAAACAGCTGTACAATCTATACTATATCTATGCTTATGAAACAAAAAATGAAAAAAAAAAACTAGATAGTTATACACAAAGCCCATAAATACAATCTTCCACTGGATGAAAAAGTCAATGGATCAGGGAACAAAATGGCTACAGTTTTTTACTGCTTAGGTGTAGTATTACCGTCAATATCTGATATCTGGCTGTCATGTTCGATTACTTCACGTACATCTATCTCAGGCACAAGTTCTGGAGATGCTGTCCTTTTGACCTACATAGTAATGGCAAAGGAATGCCGACAAGGTCAAGAAACAAACAAATTGCCAGAGAACTAAATCAGAAAACACTTGCATAGATAACCAAGAAGAGTCATACAGAGAATAAGACTTACAAGAATCCCTTCAAGATCCTGAGAAGAATACGTATGAACAAGCTTTCCCCTCTCCCTTTTCTTGTATCTAGAATCAAAGGAAGTACATTGAGCTAGACTCCTAACCAACCAGAAACATGGAGAAATCAGATCCTACATGTAAAAAAGATATATCTACCTTCCTTGAGGCCTTGTAGCCTTTACAACTGTATCTTGACTATCAGCTGAGATCTTAGAAACTGCATCTTCTTGTGGCCCATCATCTCCTTCCGCTGTTAAGCGCATCAGTAACCATGAGTTCAATAGTAATATAGAAATGGAAACCAGGTAAGCAAATTAGCATTTAGGGGTTACCTTCATTTTTCTTGGTATCGGCTGCTTGCTACAACATTAACAAGAGGACAACAAAATCAATACAACACAAAGAAAAAAAAGATAAAATAAAAACAGAATGAGAAGAAATTAACCGGAACAAAAGATTGGAGAATTACCACTTTCAACTTTTTGAGGATACTATCAAACTGAGTTGTATCAAATGCCCAGTTACTCGGCTTTTCTGTCCCAATACCTACCAATTACAAATAAAAATTTGTTAAACAGTCTACCAGGAAATAACAATCAAAAAGAGATTACAGAAAACATTACAAATAATCAAATTAAATCCTTCTTTTGAGCACTATGGAGTATGAAATTCCTACAAGGTGGGATTACATTTCCTTAATCATCAAGCGCATATTCTTATTCTATATAAAGAAACAGAGAAAGATCTAGGTAGAAATTCAGAGGCCAGAAACGGGGTAACAAAAGGAAAAACCTGTAGTGTCCTGTTTGTTCTTAACTCGAATGTATCCTTTGATCCCCTGCTTTTCTCTGCCCAGTCCTTCTCCTTCTTCCCATCCCTAATTCAATTCACATCACACAAAATTGCACTATAAGCTGTAAAACATTACAAGCAAATAAAAAAGAAAAAATAATGTACTAAACACAGAGATTAAGACACTGTAAATCAGAGAGCATATTTATTGAACCAATTCCCAAAAGGATCTCGTAATTACAGAAATGTTATAAAATCAAAAAGGTCCTCAACAGTAATAAGGCTTAAAAGCTCAAACATTTAATCTTTTTTCATTATAAGCTCAAATCAGGTCAAATGTTTGTGCGAATCCATACCATTTGCTTCATGAGACGGAAAGCCGCGGACTGTCTGGCGATGCCCACATAATTAACCGGAGTTTCGGCTGTTGCTGCCATTGTTTCTCTTCCTTCGACTCTTCCTCCCTCCTACGTCGGCTTTCTTGGCGGTTTCAACCCACCGGAAAAGAAAAAAGCGGCTAACTCCGATTAGTGGAGGGAGGAAAAGAGTCGGTGGATGGAGGAGGAGGGTTTTAGAGAATAGGCAGCTGAATACCTAAAACTCTGAGGAGTTTGCCAACCACCAACTCAAACCCTGAATTTACATTTTACCACCGAGAATATTTTGAAATATCGATACTTTCCCTCAAGTGTTTGGAAAAATCAATTTACAACCCCCTCCGATTAGAAAAAGTATGTACTATATACTTTCATTTTTGGTACTAAATTCTGAATCAAATTCCCTTCTTTCTCTAGTAACCAGCATTTTATTTTATTTTTAAATTCCATAGTTTACAGAAATTGGTGTAATTTTTGACCTACTGATTTTATTGATTGACTAGTCATATCTTACAGAGGATAATTTTATGTTGATGATGAGATGCTAGTGATTCAAAACTTTTTCTTGTTTTTCAATAATAATGGATCCAAATCATGTGAAAGATCAATTAGAAAGGTACTATCTCTGTTCAAAAAAATAAAAAAATCAACATTGAGTTTTGAAATTGATAATAGTTTTCAAAACTCAATATAAATTATTTTTTGAAAAAAAAGCATCATCGAACTCTCAGTTAGAATTGAAAGAATTAGGTACTTTATAGTTTTCCAGATTTTAGATATCATAACCCAATTTCTCTATGATGTAATAGGAGGTTATAATAGTGAATCAAAAAACTATACCATATAGAATAGAGACCGTGTTTATATTAACAAACCCTACCCATTTGAATAATTTCAATAGATAAATGGGAAAAAAAATTGTCACACTTTTGTATATTATTACACTTCTGATAATATTGGCTAATATTTTGACATGTATTTAATTAGGTGTTAAATAAATTCAATTATCATTTAGTAATAGAACCAGTAATTAACTACCAAAACAATGCCAATTTATTATTTAAATTGCAATACAACATAATCACAGAAACCTTTATTTTGTTTTATTTTTAGGACCCAAATCTTTAATGTTTTATAATTTCGACTCTTCAGTCTTTCCCTGATTATAATTCCAGTCACTTTTTCATTCATCTTATTTTTTTTTTATTAAAGAAAAGGCCATTTCTATTTCTCTTCAGTGACACTCAAAGACGGGGAAAATATATAAACTACAGTGGCTTTCCAGCACGTACTTTACCAGAGTTTATACAACCAGGCTACAAAATCTCTATCATTTGGCCAACAATCTTCTTACTAATTACAATGGTAAATGGGGGTAACTACAATAGTTTGATTCACATCCAATCCACCTGGTTGATATAAATATAAAGTCATAATAAAACATGACAAATACACTTCAATTGAGCTGGATCGAATTAGATAGAAACAAAGGAGCAGGCCATAGTTAAGGAACAGAGAGCAGAGCCCCTAATTCCTTCCCCTTTTAATGAATGCCAAAATCCAAATTCAGATAATGGGATTGGCATAGTACTCTTTTTTTTTTTGTACCGACTTTTCATGTTTCTAGTTCCTCTGCGGGGATGTGAGAATGGGTCCTTCTAGTTCTTAACCACTACAACACAATACTTCTTTTTTGTTCCTGGCCCAAGCTTGTTCACAATACAATTCCCCTTGCCCAGAGTTATGTTATCGCTCATGCTTAGCTGAAATTCAAAGACTTGAAAGGGAATTTTGGGTTTCTTTTGAGGGGGAAATTTTAAGTTCTTGCAGTAAAGCTCAGAACTTTTTGCTGGGATCGGATGGGGCCAATGTTTGGAGACTGGCCTTCTTTTGATCCTACGAACTTCAGCCAAGTTCGACCATCTGATCCTTCAAGTCCCTCGGTAAGTTACTTCTGTTACACAACTGTAAACGTTCAATCTTTATCTTGATTAGCGTAGAAGTTTCTCGGTTAGCAGATGGGTTGTTTCCTCTACTGTTGAGCCTGTTCGTTTTGTTCGCAATATACGGTTTGCATTGTTTTTTGTGTTTGTCTTGTTAAGAATCCTATGGTGCAGTGGCATAATCCTAAACTGATTGTTAGGAATTTGTCGTAGGATATGATAAGCTAATGTTTTCCGGTTTCAATTTGTTGAAAATTTGTACGTAGGATGGGTTGATGGTTATTATTTGGTACTTTAGATTTTGCAAACATCTCTTTTGCGACCAAATACGAATTCTGGATGGTTCGTAACTTGAAATCCAAAATTAGAGTGCTCTTGATGTATACATGGAGGGAGGTGGGCTGGTTTGTTTTGTTTTCTCAACTAGACTGAAATGGGTCATTTTGCTAGATGATTTGATGGTGTTACTCATTAGGCATTGTATCTTTCTCGACGTGAATGAAGACGTGCAATGTTGCAATGTGACTAGATCCAACAAGTTTCCAGTGTAAGTTGCAGTTTAATGTGTTACTGATAGACGGATATATGGGCTACTAAGACTATCTATCGTATAGAGGCGTAAGCCCTGCATCTGGAACTCAAATATGTCTTTAGGGTGTATTTTCTGCTAGTAATACAGATGCTATAATAGTTTAAATGCTGAATGTGTTATGTCTGTGTTTCCCATACTGTTAGAGGGTGTTTTGGAATTATTTCTTTAAGAAGATTTATGAGAATGAAGGATCCAACTTTGGCTCTTGCCCAACACTGAGTTGCATTCTATGCGCATCTCAGGAAGTAAGTGGTCTGCTTATTGGCAACATGGTAGGAACAATTAATCGACTGTGACTAGAAATTTAGTGCAGATAAATGCAATCCTTTTGTTAGAAGAATATGCAAACTTACTACCAGCATTACCCTTTTAGACTCAGAAGATCTGTATCTCTTTTAACCTCAATTTACAAGGTCATATTTTGTTTGAAAGGTATTGAGAGTTTTACTTTTTTTTTTGTACGTTGAAAAGTGAAGATGAGTGGGAGTTACAATGATGGCTTGAAATCTGCTGGTTAATCATAGCCACTTCTCAGACTATCTTACATGATTTTGCTCTCAAGTTTTTGCAAGTTCAAATTCATGCCCTCTAAATTCACCTTCATTTTGAAGAGGCTGTGGGTAGAACTTTGCTCACAGGTGTGCTATTTCTCTCTAGGCCATATTGCCAAAATAGAATACCTTCTTTGAATTGGAAGAAACGAAAACATGTTTACTATTATCTGAAACAATCATTAAACAGTGTTCCTTAAGCATCTATCTTTAGCGGGCAAAGTCTGCGATTGATAGTTCCAATCAACATGTTGCTAGCATTCTGTAACATGCTCTGGAAACAATAGTCATGGTGGCGTCAACGATATATATATCAAGAAAGTTGGGGGGATAGTTAGGCTTCAGAGTATCTTTTTTTTTTTTTTGGTTAATAGCTTCAGAGTATCTTGGAAACCTATTATCAGTAATAACTTCGCCAGGAACTTTTATTCAACAGTTCCAAGTTTAAATGAATTTGAGCGTGCATACTGTTTCAAACTTATTCTACTTTGGAACTGTCAGTTGGGCTGCTTACAGACTCTCTGTTTCCTTGACTCTTATTTTGCTAGTACGTGAAAACTATCTGTAAGCTTCATGGTTCTTGCTCCCTAAATTGTGTGTTATTGAGTACACTTGTGAAATCAATGTCATTCTTCACTTTGTTCCTTCCTATTTAGCTACTTTTCATCTTTCAATGTTCTTCGTTTGCTTTGTGAACCATAAAATGCATTATAAGTTTGAAAGACATGATGGTTTCTTCTTCTTCTTTTTTTCTTTTTTTTTTTTTAATACTTTTCCCTTTTATCTTTTGGTTCTCCTGAAGGCTGAATCACTAATTTTCACTATGTAGAGAATGACGCCTGTCACATACTGTCCTACTCATGATAGGTGCCTCCCACCACCTAACCAAGGTAATGTTGGTGAAAAAATGCTAATTTCTGAGTATGCTAGATATCGTTATGATGGCAGTTATCTATTGACACTAACATAGTTCACTCATTGTATTGGTTGATAATGTAATTATCCACTTCTCTTCCACTAAAGTTGCAGCACGTGTAGGTGGTCAGTTGTATACTTCATAGTCATTACTCTTTAATCTGAAATTGATCAACAATTTCTTGCTTTTTTGCTATTTCCTCAACGTGTTTCAAAGGATCATTAGGTTACAATCTTTTATTAGATATGAAAACTCTTTCTTTTCCTCAGCTGAACTGTAACTAACCTCCTTTGGAATGAAATTCCAGTGATAGCCTCAGAATCCAGAAATATACTCCTGAGGAACATGTATAAGCGCACTGAAGATAAGGTTAGATTCTAGCCATATTTGTGCAATTAGACAGGAAAATTGGTTTAACAAATTGTGAAAATCTGATTCCGAAACTAAATTTCTCCTCTTTGTTCTTTCTTGTTATGTTTGTACAGCTGAGATCCAAGAGGCCTGCATCAGAAAATTTAACCAGTCAAGGATTAAAGCAACCGAGAATTTCAACTGCAGAATCTCCCTTTTGACACTGTCAAAAGCTGCTCATAATTCTCGGGTATTTTGTTCATGTGGTTGTGAATACGTTAAATCAGAATATAGGATGGTTTTTGGGTGTAATTTTGGGAGCCGATGATGACAGGCTGAATAGTTTACCCTTGATTCTGGCACCTAGACTCCTGAAAATATAAACTTTGATGCTGTATAGGTTGGATTATTGATTGCCGAATGGAGCTCTATCTGGTTCATTTCAGTTTGTGTAGTGGTATTTGAGATTTTTGTTGCATTGTTCATCTGCAGTTTTACTTTTGTTGAGGCCCTAGTGTAGTCCTCCTCTGAAAGTTTAGACCCGCCTGAGAGGCCAGTGCTACTCAAGGGCATTGCATGAATCGAATGATATTGTGTTTTTCCTTCCCTTTCTAATACAGGGCTCCTTGGCTTTACATTTGCAAGATGCGCCATCAAATTGAGCAAATCATTCTTTACAAGTTTTCTTTGAAATTTGTATTATATGTATCACTACTCTGCAAAAGTTTTTTAAGTTTTAATGAAAATCTTGTTCCAGCTAAAAGCCTTGTTTCCATTCCAAATGTTAGTTATTCACTCACTTTAGTTGAGGCCCTAATCTTCACATTTGATCTCAATCATGATAACTTAACGTCCACATTTGTTCAATCACTTATTCAATTAAACTATACCCATCTATTTCATAAATGTTTTTGTAATTTCTTTACGTTTATAAGTAGTCTAAAATTTCACTTTAAACACAAGGAATATTAAGTTCATTTGTAGTGGCAAGGGTAACATTACTGACGGAAGATACCGATACCATTTGCCATTTGTTCTTATACTAGATTATTGCTTCAAATTGTTGTTCCTAAAAATTCTGAGGATGGTTTCGTCCACAAAAAAATATACTCATTATTTTTATATTATTAACCGGGAAGAAAACTGGGCATGCCACGTGTCCGCAAGAGCAAATCCCCGTGAAGCACGAGTGGCGGCTTAAAATGAAGGCAAAATATTTTTGATTCCTTTATTCAGACTTCAGATTCTCTCTCTCAAAAGAGTCAAAATCAAACATCCAAAACCAACCAGAAATTAACCGCCGCTTGTTGCCCACAGCTCCGCCGAGAGCTGACCATTGACCACCACACTCACACTCTGAAAGAGAGAGGTTAATTCAGTCAATTGTTTTCCGACCCATGGCCATGGCGACGACGGCGGCGGCTTCGTTCTACTGCTCAACGCCGGTTCCGAATAAATCGACGTTGTCACAACCACATTTCCTTCCGGCTCGCGCTTACTCCGGGAATCATCCCTCTCTTACGACGCCGTTCCACCTCAAACTGAAGAATCAACCGGTGCAGAGGACTCTGTTAGTTTCTGCAGCTGCTACAACGGTGGAAGCGGAGCCGCAAGCAAGCGCCTCGACTGCTTCGAAGTCTCTGCCCTTCCGCGTTGGCCACGGTTTTGATCTTCACCGGTTGGAGCCTGGATATCCTCTCATCATCGGCGGCGTAAATATTCCTCACGATAGAGGCTGCGAAGCTCACTCCGACGGTATTTTATTTAATTGCTCAACCTAATGATTTTGGTCAATGTTTGAAATTTCTATGTGCGAATTTGATTGCTTACAAGTGACAAATTATTGCGATTGATGATGGATATTGGTGGTTTATTAGGCGATGTTTTGCTGCACTGCGTGGTGGATGCGATTTTGGGCGCATTGGGTTTACCGGATATCGGTCAAATCTTTCCAGATACGGATCCTAAATGGAAAGGCGCTGCATCTTCTGTCTTCATGAAAGAAGCGGTTAGTTCTGCAAACATAAATTACTTCTCTCTTTTTCTACTTTGGGCGTTTCGTGGTGCGAATTAGTCATTTTTCCTTATATTATTGTTTTAGGGTAGTGTACATTGAATATACTGAGTTGCTACAACTGAAGTGATGATTAGTGCGAAGTGGTTACTTAAGATACTTTGCTTGTGCATAGTGAAACTCTTGGTTGTCTTTTTAACTGAGGAGATCAACATGGTATAGAGGTGTATGGGATATATGACGATTGAGTCCTGAAGGAGGACTGCAGTGGCAAAAGCTGTTGTCATGTGACTAATGTCACAGCTGAGAAATAAAACAGCTTCTAATAGCAATATAAAAACATTCATTATTCAGACGCTGGAAATGTGCTAGCTTCTATATGCCTGCCATTCCTTTTATAAGTACAGGCACTCTGTTTTCTTAATTTCTTAATTGCTTCGATCAAAGTTTGCATCTTTAGGTTTTGTTCTGGAGATTAAGCTTGTTGGACCAAGTGTGTTCATTATGCAATCGAATTATGAATATTTGGATTTTTCACTCGTTATTGCAGTTTGTATCCATATAGATGACTTTGAATTCCAATTTAGTTTGGTAGCAGCCTACACTTACTTAATGCTTCTTGAACCAGAATGTGAATTTGGGACACTGACTGTATTCTCTCCATTCAAGCATCAATGAGTACCTAGTTATCTCAACAGTGTGAAAGATTTCATCTGGAAGAAGTCATCATTCTAACCATGCCTTTGTTGAAAAGAACAGGGGAGTTGAGTCCAAGATAAATTCATAGGTTTTGAATTGAAAAGGTTTTGGACCTCTTTTTGTATGTTGTTGAATGTGGGAATTCGTAAGTTGGAACCCTCTTATTTAGGGGCATGTGATGAGAAATATGATGCTTCCTGACTGTTTCCATTTATATCAATTCATTTGTCTAAGAAATGTTCAGAAAGAAAATGGTTTGGATAACCTGCGGTAAGAACAGTTAGGTAAAGTACCACACAGAGCTTGTTTCAAAACTGAATTGTGCTTGTCAAGTCAATTCATAGAGTTTGTTTCAGAACGAAATTTTGTTGCTTTTCAACATAATCTAAAGTCTTTATGATAGCAGTATAAACACAGGGTTTTTGACATGTAAGTTGTAAATTGCTGTGTTTTGTCCAAGTGCGCTGCACGTGGTTTCACATCATGCTAGGACCCCAAATAAACTAGGTAAAGGGTAAGATATCTGTCAGTAGTGATTGAGAAATGTACCCCTGCTTTGATGTGTTTCCTTGTCGAAGATAGACTTACTTTTGTATCTAGACACTGGCGGTTTCTATAGGGTTGAATGCATACCCCAACCATCTCTCGCCAGGTCATAAAATGACCTATATTATCCCAGGGTCAGAATTAGCAAAGGCTTCGTAAAAGGAATATTTGAACTGCTATTCGTAAAAGCAATAGGGATCATGACATAGTTTTTAATCCTGTCAGGCAAAGAATTTTCCTATTAAGACTGTAGGCTTACTTTTCAATTTTTCTTTGTTTTTCTGTACTGTGGGAGGACTACTTGAATGTGTAAGCTAAAATTTGAGTACAGTTCAACGGTGTAATTTGAAGTAATGAGCCCCCCTGATTACTAAGATCCACTTATACTTTGTATCAGGTTAGGCTGATGCATGAGGCAGGTTACGAACTTGGAAATTTAGATGCCACTCTGATCTTGCAGAGACCGAAATTGAGCCCTCACAAGGAGGCTATCAGGGCTAATCTGTGTGAGCTGCTTGGCGCAGATCCTTCAGTTGTGAATCTGAAAGCAAAAACTCATGAAAAGGTCGACAGTCTTGGAGAAAACCGGAGCATTGCCGCGCACACGGTGGTACTCCTAATGAAGAAGTAACACATGTAGGTTGAAAAGACAATTTGTAATAGTGTTATTTGGATTTCATACTTGAGAACACACTAATGGTCTTAGAAGACCAGTTACAACAAAGGAGTTGACTCCCAACACAAATATGAACTTGATGAAAAAGTACCCAGTTATAGACTCTTTCTCTGCCTATTAACTCAATTTATTCTTTCTTTTTTTTTTCTTCTTGTGCCGCGAAAATTGGTTTGAAGTTATGAACTGAAGAATTGGTATATGTAGATGGAAGTCAGTCGATGTGAGTTTGTCTCAAAGATGAACAACCACATTTTCTTACTTGAAAAATGCATCAATTCATTTCGTGGAACAACCTCTTTCTGTAATACTCCCTCCGTCCCATAATTATTGTTCAGTTTGAGTTTTTATTTTTAATTCAAATTATACTAAAAGTGAAATTTCAAACTGGACAATAATTTTGGGACGGAGAGAGTACAAATTTCGTCAAATTCATGTTTTTTACGTCTAGAGCACTCGAAGCTCTTAGATCTTAGACATTGCCCTAAATTATAGTTTTCGAAGTGTCAAGAAAAGGGAAAGGGGAAACCATGTAAAACTTAGAACGTGAGAAGGGATTAAACAAAGGAACGCATTTACACGTCCTCAACTCATTGGAAGTGACATTGGTGACAATAAATTAAATGAGGATTAAAAGTTTATCACAAGAATAATCATATCTCAATTTACTAACGTAAAACTTTTGTACCAAGAGAAACAGGCACACAAAGGATGTTTCATCCTGCAATATTCACTTGTATGTACAAAGGTAACATCTCAAAAACGCTCCAGAAATCAAGAACATTTTTCTTGTAATTAATTGAATAACATCACGATGGTCGTGGTTTATTGTTGAGGGGGGAGGAAACCTAATTGTTGAGTCGTTCTTGGTTTCCCATGATTAAAACCAGTGTACGTAAATTTTCAACTGAGACCAATTTTGAAGTAGGCAGACATTTCCACGGTTGTGCATGGAATTCTCACATATTGAATTGATTTTGAAGAGATTACAAATATGAGCACAGACTAAAAGAAAAGAAGGGTTAAATTTAAACACACGAGGGCTCCTACCAGATGGTATAATTGTTGCTAGTTTAATTTAAGGAGAGCGATTGATCATAGTGGAACATTCATAATCTACGGTGGTCAAAACAGCCACCAATATATATATATATATATATGGTCAAATGTCAAGAAAAAACAAATTCCTCCAAGACCAAAGGAATAAAACTGGATTACACCTCAGCAATTAGTTAAAAAAATATATGCAAGTATGCAACGCACCAAAATTCTCTGTTTACTCCTCCTCGGCCTTTCAATTATTGAAGGAACAAAGCTCTATATTGCTGGTTTTAATTGCATCCTGCTTGTCTCTTAAGTGCTAGGGCACCAGGAAATTAACTTATAAAGTAATTCACGATCGATGATGCTTCACTTATACCAGCTCTAACTTCATTTGAACCACATTCATACATTTGACAAAAGACAAAAATTATTACGATACAAATTACGTTATGAATCTTCAACATAACTTTATTTGACTAGATAGTCATAATGAAGTTTAGTGGATAAGTAATTAGACAAATGAATTTCACACGAACACAAATAAATAGGGCAAAGAACGTTTTGGCTATAATTAAAGTGGATATTCTTAGTTGTTTTTTTTTCAGGTGAGAATATATAACATTTTATTGTATTGAATAGTAGTAATCTTTGACTGATTTCGTGTGAGGGCGTCAAAATGCCTATTGAAAAATGAGCAGGTGAGCTTTAGGTGACACCAGTAGTTAATTTTTTGTAGGCGAACTTTAAATTCATTCAAACTCGACTAGTCGAACAAGCACTAGTAAACCAAGTTACTCATAGCAAAAATTCTATACAAATTATATCTTTTGTTATTATGAATAATACACTATTTTTTTCTGCCATGCATTTCACATGTGCGCCAAAAAGGTTGACAAGTTGAAATTCCTCAATTCGGGCTTCAAATTTGATCAGAAGACAGTTTAGAATGGAGAATTTTATACTTCATATCCCAAAAAAAATAATTCAAATTTTAATTTGTAAATTATACTATTTTTATAATATTTACAAATTTTGATGAAGACTATTTTTATGATACAGAGAGGTAATTTTTTTTTCTCTATGAAAAATCAGCTCCTCATCACAAGCCTGAAACCACCCATTCATTTTTCAAGCTTCTTACTCTTAGATATTTTTCTTTGGGGAAGAAAGAAAGAAAGAAAACCAAGAGTATTACTAGGAAATTTATAATGTATAATGAATAGCAAAGTCAGCAATTTAACAAATTGATACGAAATTTTCAAGCTAACAATATATTTACATTACAATATTTTTCGAAATAAATACAAAAATAATTCAATAAAGAAAATGAAGAGATGCGCTGTTACTTCTACCTATAATTCCAACGTAAACTGTAACACAGAATACAATTTTTTAACATGATTACAATAATCAAATGAATTATAGAAATGCTTATTAATGTAAATTCGCGAACTATGCTTCTTTTCTTTTTTTTCCCCTTTTCTCTTTGATGATTTTCTGCCTCTTTTTTCTTTATTATTATATAAGTCAAACATTGTGACGTTTGTAAGGGCATCATATTTTGCAACGTGGCGAAACTATCCAAGATACTTTGAACTTCGTAGCACTGTTCTAACCTTAAAAAGTCCAAACATCTTGGAGTACAAGGAACACGGCTGACACACCACAATTGAGACCCTTCATTTCGTTCATGATTCATATGGCTCAATTGGCCAAACATTTTGATTTTCGTTTTGAACACATAATAAAGATGAAAGATTTTTTTTCTTACGTTTGTGATTAGATGAACAATTTTTGTCCTGGAAAATTACCAAATTTGTCACTCCAGCAATGGTAATGCAGTGTTTTACGCACCCAGAGATGAGCAAACACACTCTCAAGGTCGGATGATTAGATGGAACCAGCAAAATTCTTACACATCAACACAGCTAATACTCACTACTCAATCCGGGGTTTAGGAAACTTTTCGTATTGGGGTAGAAGATTATATTATTTTATAAATATAATAATAGTAATACAATTCTATAGAGTTTCTATAATTAATTTTGTATCGGAGGGGGAGTTGTGTTATCTTCGAAATTAAATAATCATATTTATGTCCCATTGTTTGATGTTGTGTTGCTGATCTCATGTAAGTAATGTAATATTTTTGTCCTCAATACCAAGTTTCATGTACTATAAAAACTCTATAAATTAATAATGTCGGACCCAGTAAAATTTATCAATTTATAAAAATTATTATTATTTTTATCAATAAATTAATAACTATTATTTTATTAATAAATTACTATTTTAATAATTTAAAGAGTTTTTTTTTTTCAATTCTATTTGCAAACAAATACTAAGCTTCAATCATTTCCCTATGTATTTATCACCCTATTATTTTTATTTACCTGTTGGATGGAAAATTAAAGACAATTTTTTTTAATGTAAATTTCTAAAAAAGCTCGATAGCCTCATACTTTCTTTAACCTTCTTACTTTTGTTTTTTTTTTACTTTTAGATTATGATTTTTAGGGAATCTATATTTATATAAAAATTTTCTGAAAATAATATTGATTTTGTTTGATTTTTGTACTGGTCCCGAGTTGGGACCAAAGACATTTATTATTTAATAAAATTTATTAATTTATAGAGTATTAATTTATGAAGTTTTTAATGTATTAGATTCATAACTAAGTTGATTTTAACAAGTTTGATAAATTTATCTTTTTTTTAAAAAAAAAAACTGATATCAATAATTTTTCTTTTCCCCTTTCTTTTCTTGAATTTCAATTTGATATCTTGCATTATTTTGAAAGTGTCAAAACTATGATAATTATATAATTAACAAGTTTGATAAATTTATCTTTTTTTTTAAAAAAAAAACTGATATCAATAATTTTTCTTTTCCCCTTTCTTTTCTTGAATTTCAATTTGATATCTTGCATTATTTTGAAAGTGTCAAAACTATGATAATTATATAACAATATATATATATATATATATGTGTGTGTATATGACTATTCGCTATAGTCCGTTTGGTTAAACTTTCGACCTCATGAAAATAACAGTAAAGTCTTGTCAAATCAGATTAGTGTTTGTTATTTCAAAAAATCATGTTAGTCTATCAAAAGCCGGATATGGGTTGGGGGTAAACTGTTTTAATCCGATCGGTTTTTCCAGAATTCCTTGGCGATAAGTACTCCACTTGGAATTCCCAGATGATTACATGCATTATGTTGTTGGAAACATTCATCCAAAAAGTAAGCAAACATTCTTGAGTTACGTAGCAATTATTATTCCGTTTTGGAGAATCAAGTAAGCGAAAAATAATTTAATGAAGCAGCCCCCACAGTCAAACCAAAGAGGGGGGCCGGGTGGCTTGAAACATTTAATTGAATTTTTTTTCTTTTAAGAGAGTAGGCAACAATTCTGGTAAGAGTTTAGAAGTTAAAGTAGGGGACCTTGTTTTGAATTTGATTGTTCTAGATCTGAGAATGCCACATATCCCCTCAGAAAGTAGATCACAGAAATTATTTCAAACACAACATTGGTAATGACACTGCTCCCCACTATTCTACCTGTAAATTGTGTCCCATTAATGAAATAATACGACTATTTGATGAAAGTACGATTTAGGGGGAGTTGGAGAAGAAAATAATTAGAAAATATATAAAACCCTTCATTTTGAGGGTGGATATTCAATTCAATCATGCTTTACACATAAGTCAACCCAAAGATTCAAATGGTGGGAAAAAAAAAAGAAAAAAAAAAAGAAGGCACAAGATATTTGCTGCTTCTTTTTGAGGAAACGAATTATTAATTTTGAAAATTACAATACTACTGTTATGATCGATTCAGATATGAACAACTCTTCGAATAAAAATAAAAACAAGTCTATATAGTTGTGAATGAGTTCATAGTTCGGTGATTAATTCACATTGGATGCTGATCGAATCAGGTTTATCACTCCTTCTCTTTCTTTCTGTAAGCAACACTCACTAATTTAGAACAATATTTATGGGCAAATTTTGTTACTTATTCTCTGATTCTGCAGCAATTTGTAACACCATGAATATGTTATATACTACCATAGTTACTAATGTGATTGCAGACAAAAGATATAAACATCAATTGCATATCCTCCTTTTCTCATGGGTTGCTAGAACATTTAAATTAGACTAAGATTATTTTTTTCTCGCATTTTATATTTTTCCTATGTCCCAAAATTATTATCCAGTTTGAGATTTTACTTTTAGTAAAATTTAAACTAGAAATAAAAATTCAAACTGGACAATAATTATGGGACGAAGGGAATAAGAAGAAGAGTGAAATACTAAAAAAATGGATACACAGTCCATATGAATCAATCTAATTGGAAATGTTAGCTAGAAAATTGAAAAGTTATCTAAAATGAAACAAGTATAATTACCAAATAATATAAATAATTATAATAAATACTTTTTGTAATAGAAAAAAATACCAGTTTTGTTAAAGCAGTACATTTGGTTGATCGGTAATAAAATTTTTCACGGACCCAAAATTATACGTTGTCAATTTACTAATACAAGTTAATTTCATTTTACTTTTTCTATAACAAAATCTCAAAAGACATGCATTTAGACTATAGTAGTATACATATAATTTTAGACATTTGACTGTGGTGGAATACTTGACTTACGTAGAAGCTGAGAAAAACATCCATGATTTTCATTTTACCGTTTGAAAAGAAGAGTAGAAGACTGTCAAATTTAACTAGAGTTTTCAAACTACTGACATTGAGTTACATATTCAAGTTAAGGTTTCTTTATCAAGGTGAGTGGAGATGACAGTTTCCACAAAATCAAAAAAATTAATTGTAATATATAGTTTTTACTAATTCTCAAAGTAAAATTTTGTGTTAAGTAATGTGATGCTATAAAAAAAGATGCACAAGTGGGAAAACTCGCAAATTAATGAGCCATGGCCATATGACCATAACGCCGTAGTAAAGTTAAAATAAAGTAAATAATGGCATAAAAGGAAGAAAAATTTGCACTCTTATTTGAAATTGTACAATATAAAAAATAAAAAAAGGGGAGAACTTACATAAAATCTGTAGCAGCATCCAAATTAAAAGATGGTGGAGCTACAAGATTGCGTGAAACGTTATTACTCCGTGTGCATTTGTTATTTTTTTTGAGGAAATTCCGTGTATATATAATAAGGGAAAATTAATTTTTGATTTTTTTTTGAGGAAATTCCGTGTACATATAATAATGGAAAACAACGACGTCGAGACACAGCATTTGGATCTACTTCATTGTCACAGTCACTAAAATTGTTTAAATGTTTTTCTTTAATTGAACAAATAAGGGGGAAAAGAGGATGTCCCAAAAATCAAAGGAAAAATTGTTTCACCAATTTATTTCTTCAATTTCCTCACGCTTCCATCAGCTTCTTGATCATCTAGTCATCACAATTCACAATCACAACCAGCTATACTAATACTATAATGATTTTACTTGCTACATTTGACAGAGCATATCATGTGTCACAGTGTGAACAACACATGAATCAAATCATAGGCTTCTTAGTTTGGGTATTATCATCACCTCGCATAATTTGATCATATCACTTTCCTCTTCTTTTTTTTTATTCTCTTTTTTCCACTTAAGCAAAATTAGATGTGTTATAGTTATTTAAATATTAAAACGTACAATCGTATTAGTTACTTATTTTGATTTATTATTTTAGGAAAATTATAAAATATCAACAATAAAACACATTTTAAATTTTGAGAGCGGTTATACAGAACGTAACTCGGGTAAAATTAAATGCTTCTTTCAGTCTATTATGTTTAAGTTTTAACCTTAAATGGTCTATGGTAGGCCTCTCCTCTTAATTTGATCATTTGATGGATGATTAAGAGATTCAAGAGCCGCCCCCACCATAGATTTGAAGAAGAAAAAATAAATACACTTGTTTACTCAAATTAAGGTATGCAGCAGGAAACTTCACATTAGTTGTAGTATTGGAAAACATAATTAGTCCGTACTGTTTAGACTCTTCAAACTCCTATAAATAGCACTCCATCAGTTTGGTCCTTTAAGAAAAACCATAACACAACTTCATTCTTTCTTCTGCTAAAACAACCAAATTCAAATTCATTTCATTCTTTACCTTTTCATACATAACTACTTTGATCCTTCTTTTTTTCTCCTTTAAATTAACATAGAACATATGGAGTTCAGTTCTTCAAGAAACCCGCAACAAATCCTGTCCAAAATCGCTACCAATGATGGGCATGGCGAGAATTCTTCTTATTTTGATGGTTGGAAAGCTTATGACAGTGATCCTTACCATCCCATTAATAATCCCAATGGGGTTATTCAGATGGGCCTTGCAGAAAATCAGGTAATTAACAAAAGCAAGTTCTTCCCTTTCAGACAGTTATCAAGAAACTATAAAAGTTTTTTAAGATGATTATGATCAAATTGATTTAGTGACATCCCTTTTTTTTAAATGTTCAGATGTGCTTTGATTTGATTGAAGATTGGGTACTTAGCCATCCAGAGGCCTCCATTTGTACTCCTGAAGGGGTTAAGAACTTAATGCAAACTGCCATTTTCCAAGATTACCATGGCTTGCCAAAGTTCAGAACTGTAAGCCACTGTTATTCCTTATCCTGATCCTCCTTCAAATTGTATTTGAGAAAATATGATCAAAATTCTGAAGGGTTCATGAATTTATTCAGGCTGTAGCTAGATTCATGGAGAAAGTCAGAGGAGACAGAGTAAAGTTTGATCCTAACCGCATTGTGATGAGTGGTGGAGCTACAGGAGCCCATGAAACTCTGGCTTTCTGTATTGCTGATCCTGGTGATGCTTTCTTGGTGCCGACACCTTACTATCCAGCGTAATTACTCTTATCTTTTCGGCTAATTTTTTTCCATTACGATTAACCAACACGTCTCTTATTTTGGGACGGAGGAGGGAGTTAGTAGTTCTTACAATCAATTTTCTTTTGGTCAATGCTCTGCTATAGCCCTTGAATTTTGTCAACAAGCATGCATATATCTAAAGTCATCAACAACTTTCAACCATAAGAACTTCAACTCTTGACTTTTGGGAGGGAGTCAGGCCTTCATGAAATTTCAACATTAGTATTTAATTATTGGAGGCCAGTGTGTAACCTGAATATAACTACTCATATTGAAAAATAGCAAGTAGGACCTAGTTTTAGCAAACCTGTCCTTTTGTTACTTGTCCATATTCCATAACTTCCAAAACATTATTCCATTTTTCTTTTTTGTTTTCCTGGCTCATAAAATTTTCAATGATACATGGGTTTCTTTTGTTTTTGGATGACAGATATGATAGAGATTTGAGGTGGAGAACAGGACTGAAGCTTCTTCCAATTGTGTGTGACAGTTCTAATGGTTTTAAGGTTACAATGGAGGCAATGGAAGATGCATATGAGAAAGCTCAAGAAGCCAATATCAGAGTTAAAGGATTCCTGTTAAACAATCCATCGAATCCATTAGGCACTGTACTTGACAGGGAAACTCTAAGAGACATTGTCAAATTCATCAATGACAAGAACATACATTTGATCTGTGATGAAATATACTCTGCCACTGTTTTCAGCCAGCCTGATTTCATCAGCATCTCCGAAATTATCGAGGAGGAACATGAGATCCAATGCAACAAGGACTTAATCCACATTGGGTACAGTTTATCCAAGGATTTAGGCTTCCCTGGATTCCGGGTTGGGATCGTGTATTCATACAATGACGCGGTGGTAAGCTGCGCGAGGAAAATGTCGAGTTTTGGACTTGTTTCCACGCAGACTCAACACCTGGTTGCATCAATGCTGTCAGATGAAGAGTTTGTGGACAAATTTCTTGCCAAGAGTTCGGAAAGGTTAGCCGAAAGGCACGGTACTTTCACCAGGGGACTTGCTCAATTGGACATTGGAACATTGAAGGGAAATGCGGGGCTCTATTTCTGGATGGACTTAAAGAAGCTCCTCAGGGAACCAACTGTTGAAGCTGAAATGGAGCTCTGGAGGATCATCATCCATGAAGTTAAGCTCAATGTTTCACCTGGATCATCATTCCATTGCTCAGAACCAGGTTGGTTTCGAGTCTGTTTCGCTAATATGGATGACGAAACCATGAGGGTTGCTCTTAGGAGGATCCAGAAGTTTGTGATTTTCCATTGCAAAGGATCAGATTCTTCAGCAGCAGCAGCAACAACACCTAAGAAAAACCATTGCAGAAACAGCAAACTCAAGCTCAGCTTATCGTTTCGCCGATTGGAAGACAGAATGGCACAACATCACATCATGTCACCTCATTCTCCAATGGCCTCACCATTAGTTCGTGCTACTTAAATCATTGAAGCTGAAATGATGCAAAATTTTATTCATGTGCCTTCTAGGATAACCGAGAAAAGATAATTCCTTTTTGGCCTTTAGTTTCTTACCATTTTTCTTTGATATATGCCACATAGAGTGAGCATTAACTAGCATTTTTGGCCATCGATCTGATTCAAACATAAATGTTGTATCAATGATCGATGGTCTTTCTCTAATTTTTATGTTCGTTTTTTTCTTCCCTTTTCCGTAAAGAAGGAAAGGAAGTACTTCATTGTAAGTTGTAACCAAGCAATATGTACTGGCCTCGTGTCATAGTAATGATTTCCAATAAATTTCATCAGTAATAAAAGTGATAAGATTTTTCAATATCTGCAATCGAATATTGGAATGTTTTTCCGAATTCTCTCTTTCACATAAATCTCTTTAGTCTTTACAAATCTTTACTTTTTCAACCATGAGACAGCAAGTTACTTACTATTATCTTTACCTAACTATTTTTTGCATATTAATTTGTAGTGTCTACGTCGCTTTGATTTTCTAATTTTGTGGCAGTAGTCCGGCTTAAATCCACAAAAATTTAACAAACTTCAGAGTATCTTTTATTGTAAATGACAAAATCATAGATATATCAACCGAAAAAAAAAAGGAAAAACTTTTTAACCAAGAAACTATATAATTTGTACTCCATCCGTCCCATAATTATTGTCCACTTTGCCAAAAAAATTTTGTCCCAAAATTATTGTCCAATTTGACTTTTTATAGATCAAGTTACACATTTGTCCTTAATAAAAAATATTATCCATAAAATCTTAGTGGTTAAACAATTACTTATGTAGGGGTATATCCGGTTGTTTTAGGTAAAATATAGTTAAGTTTGACCAAAAATAAAATCTTTCATTTTAATAAAACTGGACAATAATTATGGGACAGAGGGAGTATCTTTTTTATGGATGGTAATTCATAATGAAGCTCTATAAAATTTAAGGGTGAACTACATTTTACCTCCTGAGTTTTGGTTGAATCTACCATAAACCCCCTGAGTTTTAGTAATACTATAATATACCTCCTTGACTCATAGTCAACTTACAAAATACCCCCTTAACATACAAACACCATCATTAATTTTGTGTAAATAGTCAAAAATACCCTTTAATCTATATTTTTAGATTATACAGTATAAATATTTTTTAAAACATATATCATAAGTTAAAAAAATATTCCATATTAATTCTTTTATATTGGTATATTTAAAAAATAAAGTTTGACATCAACTATACCATGTGTTTTGAAATCAATATTTTCACAAATTAACTTCTTCCTTTTTGAAACATAATAAGCTTATATTATTAACCGTGTATTAACTTTCATATATTAACTTGATATAATTAGAAAAACGTGAACTTAAGTGATTTTTTATTTTTAATAATCAAAAAATGAAGAAAAACAAATACAAAACGAGAAAAGAAAATTAAGTGTATGTAAATTGGGGTCAATTTTGTCATTTCAATATTTAACCCTTATTCATGGGGTATATGGTAGTATCACTCAAACTCAGAGAGTTTATCGTAGATCAGGGCAAAACTCAGGGTGAAATATAGTTCGCCCAATTTGTAAATTACACTCCACTACATATCGAATGACTATCAAATGGAAACCTTCATAGGAGAAGAAAAGAAAAGAAACAGAAAAAAAGAAGAAGAAGAAAAGGACTCCGTGAATATGTGTGGTCCTTGATCTCGAAATCAGGCGTTCCTTTGTTATATTGAATATGATCGAAATTAGGCGTTCCTTTTAATTTTAATATAATTTATATCTTATATATAAATATGATATATAGTCCTTTTTCCGGGACAAAACCAACAAAATATCCTTCGAAATTTGTTGGCTTAAGAAACAGAAACATGTTTTGCATGGCATACCACCTTAAACACTTGCACTCGACTTTTCTTTGTAATCAATATAGGCTGTGTGGGAAATGAAGCTCTCGAGAAATAATTCATTAAGATTTGTATACTCTACGTAGATAATTCAAAGGGAAAAGTAAAAGCTTACATATTTGAGTATATTTGACATGAAATTCAATATGTTAAGTAAAAGTACACTAATACTCCTACGACTCGGTTCACTTTAGTGAATTCTTTTTATTCGTTTATTTTACAAAGATGTGATTGCTTCTTTTTTTTGTTTCTTTTTTCCGAAACCAGGGCGGAACCTGAGATATGGGAATTCTTGTTGGTCTACCACAAGAAGACCTTTTGTATGTGAAGGGAGATCTCTAAAATTTTGGAATCGTCGCAAAAGACCGGCTGAGGCCATGTTAGCAAGATTATCAGCGACGGCATTTGCTTCTCGATAAATATGGACAATGGTATAATTCAAACTTTGGAGAATGAATTTAATTTCTTCAAGAGCTGTACTATGACGCCATGGAAATTTTCTGTCAGATTGAGAAATGTAGCAAGTGTGAGGTTGTCGGTCTGAACTTCAACGGTTGTGAGATTCATAAAGGCGCATGTTCGTTGCCCAAAGAGAAGTCCAGTAGTTTCAGAAAGAAAGCTATCCTCTGATCCAATAAATCCCGCTTCATCATAAATAAAGGAGCCATGTTGATCACGAATTGAAAAGCCATAACCCGAAACTTGTTCCTGTGGAATTGTTGAGCCATCCGTATTAAGTATGATGCAGTTGAGGTGCGGCCTTTTCTATTTTATGACTCTGATAACTTTTCCTTTAACGGAAAGGTTAATGCTTGGAAACATTGAGGACATGACAGAGAGCTCCATGTTTGTTCGAACTTGTGGGGAGTGAACTAGTAGAAGATTCGGTATGTTATCCAAAACAGCATTCTGAATTTGCAAAGATGAGGTGCCTTTATCTTAAAAAATGGAGTTATTCCGAGCTTTCCATACTTCTCAAATGATGCAAATTGGAACAGCCATTGCTGCCACTTTTTTTTTTTTTGCTGAAGTGAAGCTTTCAAATGACCACCAAAATTGGAGCTATTGCCAGAGAGTCATTTGCAGCGAGATGCGATTGCTTATTTCATGATGAGTAAGAGTTAAAAGCTTAACAATTTTAATTAGAATTGGTGTGAGTAAGAATATATTCTGATGGCTATCGATATTTGGTTATGCTTATTCATCAATTTTCTTATTAGAGCATCTTTAGTGGTGTTTAATAAGAAGTAAATTACTACTCTGTTACACTCATCATCATTATATGGAGTGTAAGAAATTGTGACGGTGTAAGATTTCTTACACGGTTGAATACATGGTTGAGTGGGCCATCATCCAATTAATGCAAATTAGAAATTAATTTTTTTTTGAAATAACTAAAAAAAATCAATGGATAGCTCAAATATGGATCAATAATCATTTAAAAGAATATTAATTATATTACACTTTATTGTATAAAACCAATGTAGGAAAAAGTGTAATAAAAATGTAATATGATAAAATGCTGACATGGAATCCTATTATACTCACAATGGTGTAAACCATTGTGGATGCTCTTATAAGTAAATCTATCTTATGTACACTAAATTTGACGTTTTTGATAGTTATCCCTCCCTAAGTTTCAGACAAAAAAAAAAATCCACATTGAATTTCTAATTTAAACTATTTTTTAAAGAAAAGAAAGAGTACTATGATTGAACGTCAATTTGGTACCTGAGTTAAAACAGACTCGGCATTAGAAAGTCCTAGTGCTTGTTTGGACGTCAACTTACATTTCATTTTGCCACTTAAAAGTGGAAAGTGTTTCAAATTGAAAACTAAATGTGAAATAAAAATATTGTTTAGATGTTGGTTTTGAAAAAAAAGTATTTTGAACTACATTTTGAAATATCAAGTACAAGTCATCATTAAACAATTAAATATTGTCAATTATAGTCACTGCAAAAGGAACTTTTTCAAAAACAATCACTCAACAATAAAATCTTGCCAAATTTGTCGCTGAACTATTTGTAGTTCTAAAATGGTCATTACACTAACAAAAAATGTTTCAAGTTGGAATTTAAAATGTAATCAGTAAGTTGTTTGGATGATATTTTCTTTTCCATTGGATTTTATGTTTAAGAGGTAAAATGAGTGAAAATGTAAAATGAACTATTATCCAACCAAGGCTCTAGTTTTCCGAATAACATCGAAGATAAACTGATTTTGAGAAGGAAGAACACTTTCAATGACGGGCAAATTCAAATACCCCCAAAAAATATTCCAGCTCAGTGATAAAGGTTCTGAAACTTAATTAAAATTTATGTGAATAATATTTTCTCATTACTAAATCATCGTAATAGGTGTAGTACATGCTAGAAATAATGCATTTAATAGCCTTTATAATATGATATTAAAATTTAAATACATAAGGCATGATATTCTCTTTATTTCATAAAAAAATACATTGTGATTTGAGAAGATATAATTCACAAATTATAGTATGACTTATTTATCTGGAAAGTGCAAGAGAATATCGCATGAATTGTCAATATAATGTAATCATCGATTACGTTTTCAGCTCGTACTTTTTACCTAACTTTTGAAATTCATAATAATATATGGAAGGTTTGGTCATTAAAAAAAGTATGGAAGGTTTGGTGGAGAATGAGGTATACTGACTTTGTAATTACAGGAAAAGAAAACCAGGGTGAAGATGTATAAGTAAAAGGTTTCAGATAGGTAGCCATGAATGTTTCAAACTTCTAATCTATTGATTTTTAAGATTAATCTATACTCATTGTGGAGACTTCAACTGTCAAAGTATGCATTATATTTTGCTATTTTTGAAAAATATTGTGTGTTTGATTATTGTATATCTTAATAATTAACAAGAGACCGAAAAGTAGGCATGACCAAACTAGACCGAATGCTCATGAACCAAAACAGAAATCATATTTGGCGATTCTAAAACTAGAATCGAAACCTTCACTAGACAGTTGGGTTAAGGTTCATCTCTTAAAAAAAAAAAAAAAAATCATGAGCCGGCTCTTTAAAATCAACAGTTTGAATCCATCGTAATCCGTCAATCAACCATCGGTTTTAATTTAAAAAAAAAAAAACAAAAAAAAAAGATTGTGTAAATTATTATATTTCATATATTTTTAACTAGGGAAATTTTTTTAAAAAGGCATTGGAAAGATCCATATTATTCTCAAGGGCATTAATTTTTTTATTCTTTTTGTAAATAGTTTAATTAAAAGATAATATTTTTTGTCCACTTAAAAGATTATTTTATTCTTCATTACACAAATGTTTTCATCCAAACTTCCCCCTAAACCAATCCATTCGCAAGAACTCTGCTATTTTTAAGTTTTTCTTGTGTCAATTAAGAGATTTTAGCCCCGAGTTTGAGTTCAACGATGTAATCCGAATTGTCACTTCTTATTTTCTCTTTTTCAATTTTGATTTCTTAATCTTAACGCTTGAATATCTATAGTACTTAATTAAAGTAACAAACAAAAAGGTCATGTGTCAGTACCACAATGGAAATTTTCCCACCAAAAGTCATTTTCAATACAAAATCATTTTTGACACGTGGCACTCTAACTAATCAGAAAAAAAAAAAGATAGAATAGATAAATACATAAATCCCTAATTATAGCTATATAAAAATCTCTTAATTATAGGTATACACTAATCCCTTAAAATAAAAATATTTAGTTGATAAAATCAAATGTAAGGAAATTTCCTTAAATCAAGTGAAACACCAGTAATGTCTTTCCAATCCTCAATTTTAAAGGATCTCTTCCATTCCCCTCCTCTCTCACACCCAGGCCTTTAAATCAATTACTTAAAATATGACATCAATATCAATCGATCTCTTTCTACAACAGAGAAAAAATAAGCTGTCATGAAAGAAATTTGATTTTCAAGGATGATTTTTTTTTATTCTTCTGTTATAGATATTAGTTTATGATTTATGTAAACCTAAGCATAAGTTAAATGTTGTAAATTAAATGTTATAAATTTGGGCATAGATTTACGTGTAATAACTTATTTCCTATCCTTTTAATCGATATTTTATTCTTCTATTTTTTTATTCTTTTAAGAATGATTCGTATTTTTTATTTAATCGATTTAAAAATACAGGCGGCACCCCGGGTATTCGTCCGGGGCAAGCATCTAGTTAATAATGAAAACATGAACCTTAGTGGTAGCCTTATTTTCAGGAAGAATCAATTGGCAGCCTTCGGTAATTCAAAAAACTCCCCCCAAGTCTGAAGGAGTTAAATCATGGTAACGTTTACTTTACTTTTCAATTGGTTATATCGATTAATCTTCTTGAATATTATTAATGATTTTCTTTTGTTTAAGTGTGAAATTTATATTAAGATATGAAAAGAGATGCTATCTAATTTTTATTGATGGTATTAATGCTTTCGAATTAGTTAAATTCAATGGTACTTTTGCCATTGATGTTATCATTATGCAGACTACTCTACATAAAAGTTAGTATAAGTGGAGGAGTGTTTAGATATTAAAGGAGATGATTTATCAAAGTTCTATTTCTTTGAAGAATCTTAAAATTTGGTGAAGAAGAATTGCAGATAGATTTTCGTACAAAACTTTATTCTCATCTTCCCATATACTTCATTTTTTGGACAACTTCCGGCTTACAAAAAATGTCAAGAAGATGTATTTTATGGGTGCGATATCAAAGTTTCATACTGGACAAATCCTTGGTATAGTAGTAACTATGCATAGTTACTACAATACTTGGAACAGAATTAAGGGCTCTCTATATGTTCTAAAGTAGAGTTCTCCGAAGAAACAATGTTTGGTTCTGGTTGTGTTTCTTCCATACCTATGAATCTTACAAATTTGCTTGTTGGGAAATTGATCCAGTGGAGAAAAAAATAAAAAAGTAAAGAGTAATTGTTTCTTGTTGAAAAGGGGTAAACCGGTCATTTGAAACATTAATGATATTTTAATGTTTGTGCTAAAAATCTAAAAATTCCAATGCCTTTGAGAATAATTATGATCTTTATGATGCCCTTTTTAAAAATTTTCCCTTTTAACTATATTCAACACTTCACATTCTTTGTAAAAAAAATAAAATAAAATTTCACCTATTATTAGATTAATGATACTTAAGGAATATATTTAAAAACAAGGAGTATGGAGAATGGATGCATGGCAATCAAAGAAAAAGAATGGACAGAATAAGACTGTAACACTCAGACCATCTAAGATTTCTTCTCCACGACCCATTGAGACGCTTGACGTTGTTAACTCTAGGCTGGCGGTTAGTTCTGATGCTATAGTGAATTTGGAAGCATCCGTACATCAGATGCGTCAATATGTTGTTCCAGTTAAAACTACACTCGACCCAACAAAACATCAAGTGGTTGTGATCATGGATAGTCCTACTCAAAAATCATGGGATCATTGTGAAAGAATAAATGAGTTTGATCCAAGGGAGGATCTAATGATCGAGAACAACAATCTCAGTACGAGGAGAAGTCCTTTTCCTGAGAAACCGGAAGCTAGGTGGCGAAGTGATGGTGGTCCAACTGAAGATGACCAAGCCATGGATGAAACCGTGGCCTTGAGATCTACAGTCCCTAGTAGCCTTTAAGGTTTCGTCTTCTTTGTTCTCATCTATTTTATCACATTAACGAATACTGTTTAACTGTCACTATATTGTTTGAGCATGGGAGATTCCAAGACCATGAAGGCTATAAAGTTTATGGTTATTTGTGTAGCAATTGGATTGAACAACTACAATATGATTACCGATTGACATTGATAGCGAGTTTCATGGTTTCTATTGATAGTTCTAGAAAATATGATTGTTTTTGTTTTAGCACTTTAGGGATTAGTCTCCTTCACTGTATCAACTTTTATTTCATTTTTCAAAAATGTTTATTAAATTTTTTTCAAGTATATAAATAAAACCAGATAAAATTAGAAACAAAATCATCACCGAACAAGAATCGAGATGAACAGGAACCAAACAGGAATGGGTGGTTGACGAACGGCATTACCGAAAAGGTTGCTCTTGCAACTAAATCTTGTAACATCTAGCAGAGGTGTATTCCTTTTCCTTTTTTTGGGGGGGATGGATTTTTAAAGCCCCCAAATTTAGTACTCAAAGCCACCAAAAAAAAAATGGATGATTTTACCCCTGTCATTTAATACAGTAGAGAGAAAGAAAATGAGTCATTCAGAGGTAAAAATAAAAAAAAATTAAAAAAAATCCGAACCGGGCAAGAAAACCGTCCCGGTTGAACCGGAGACGCCCAACAAACGCGTCCGGCCATTGAACCGGACGCGTTCATTGCGCGTCCCCGGTTCAACCGGACGCGTGTGCCGCGCGTCCGGCCCGGGTGAAATCGCATCGACGCGCAACACACGCGTCCGGTTGAACCGGGAACGCGCAATATACGCCTTCCGGTTCAATGGCTGGACACGTCAAACACGCGTGCCGGTTGAACTGGGGAAGCGCAATACATACGTCTACGCGTCCCCGGTTCAACCGGGACGCGTGTGTTGTGCGTCCGGCCAGTGAATCGGTTTTTTTTTATTTTTTTTATTTTTTTTTAATTTTAATTTCATGCATGTTATGTTAATTTATTTTTTAATTTAATTAGTTATGTTAAGTAATTTAATTAGTTTAAGTATATTTATTTATTACATGTTATGTTAATTTAATTAAGTAGGAATATTATTATTTTATGTGTTAATTTAATTAGTTATGTTAAGTAAATTAATTAGTTGAATTATATTTATTTATTGAAGGTTATGTTAATTTAATTAAGTAGGAATATTATTATTTTATTTATTAATTTAAGTAGTTATGTTAAGTAATGTAATTAGTTGAAATTAATTTATTTATTGCATGTTTTGTTAATTTAATTAAATAGGAATATTATTTTTGTAGTTGTTAATTTAATTAGTTAATTTAAGTGATGTAATTAGTTGAATTTTATTTATCTAGATAATATTTATTTAGGGGAGAATTAAATAATTAAAGAATTTTGTGGAATAAGTATTTAATTAAGTATTGGAAATGCAATTAATTAAATATATAATTAATCGCTAAATTAATGAATTCTAGCTTTTTATGTAGGTATTGGGAAATTTAATTTAGTAAATAATTAATCTATTTACTGTAAATATATGTGTTTTTATTATTTATTATAATTGTATATCTTTTTTAAATGATTGGAATATGTGTTTAATTTAATTTATTATAATGTAGTTTTTTATTGTTGTAATTTTATGTTTAATTTGCAGGATTCTTTAGAAGATTTTGGTGGCGATGGTGAAGATTATAGTATATTGTTTGCTACAGATGAGGAATTTGCAAAAAAGGATGATGCTGTTGCTTGGGTGAAAGGCGCATGGCAAATGGTATGCTAATAAACGTAGTTTCTAGCAAGAAGAAGAATGCTGTTCTGATGAGATGCTGTAAAGGGGGAAAGGTGTCAGTTGATGATGTGAATACTATGTCACATCAGATTCGAAGACACAAATCACTAGGTGTAAATTTAAGTTATATGTGCACTTAGTGGATGGGAAGTGGCGCATTCGTGTGTATCCTGGTGAGTTTGAAATGCATAACCACAAGCTGTTTGACGAAGATCATTCCACGAGGGGTGGGTGCAGACCGTGTCAAATCATGGCTGCGATTGAGAGGATCTTTCCCGATGAAAACGTTAACAGACGACAAGTGTACAATTTCAGGAAGAAATTGCGTAATGAGGGGTTCCCGGTCTTGGGTGAATCGAGTGCCATGGATGTCGCGATGAAGACACTATCGGTGGCCAAGCATCATGGTTACATCATCATGACAGATTGCAATCAGGAGACAGGTGTGCTGACTCGTGTTTTTTTTGCACATCCTGATGCTGTCAATTTATTTTGCAGTTATTTCTGGGTCGTCGGGATAGACTCAACATACAAGACGAACAAGTACAAAATGTCGTTGGTTGAGTTTATTGGGATGACACCGTGCAACCAGAACTTCCTGATTGCATACACCCTCTTGAGTGACAAGACTGCTGACAGTTATTATTGGGCTTTGAGACAGTTTAGGGATTTGCTTCCTGGTCATCTGTCTCCGGCTGTTATTATTACTGATCGGGAACCGGGGTTGATGGCGCCGCTGGGTATGGTATTTCCAGATTCATGCCATTTGTTGTGTGTTTGGCACGTTTATGAGAATGTAAAGCGACATCTCAACAAGGAATTGAAAATTGAAGCCAAGATTGCAAATGGTTTTACATATGGGTTGTGGAAAGACGTTGTGAAAGCTAATAATAAGGATGAATATAGTAAAGCTGTTGCCGTAATAAACCGTCGTTGGCAGTCTTTTCCGAGAGTTCTTAATTATATCCAGAAGACATGGCTAGTGGTTACTACAAATTCGTCAAGGCATGGACGAATGCTATGTTTCATATGGGCAACACTACTACAGGTAGGGTGGAGAGCGCGCACAAGCAGTTAAAAAACTTGGCTGGAAACATCCACTGCGTCGCTGGATACACTTTGGGCTAAGGTGCACTTGGAAATTCAGAGCCAGCTAGCCGAAATACGGTAAGTTCTATTCCATTATATTAGAAGTTATATTTATTATAATATATTTAGTATTTATTTTGTTTTTATGGCATTTTACGTAGAATTTTTTACAGTAAGTGGCTACATTCAGGTACAAACTGGAGTACTCAAGACAGAAAATTGGCACCCATTATTGCGGTTTTCCATTGAATCGCTTGAAGTGTCAAGTTTCACATACTTGTTTGCAAGAGCTGAACACTGAGTGGTCGAAGGTTGAAGAGTGGAAAGAAGAAACAAATGACCGATGCGATCATGTGGTGTACTGGACTTGTCGAATTCCATGTGCGTATCAAAAAGGCTGCAGATGCCAGGCTGGTACAAGTTCTCCTAGTGATGAACAGGCTGCCCTTAATATCGGTGAACAGGCTGGTACGAGTTCTCCTAGCGATGTGGATGACGAGGTCCTTTATACCAGACAGTTGATGAAAGAGCTGAACGAGTGTCCTAAGGCAGTACGACGTACTGTAAATAGGGCTCTCCGCGATATTATGCATCCAGACCAGTGTGGATTCAAACAACCCGAGGAGGTCAAGAGAAGGAAGGGGCGGCCTAAGGGGGCTAAATCAAAGAAAAAAGCAGAGGCCAACACTCTTGCCCATGAACAATCCCCACAGAAAAAAGCAACTCCTAATGTGTGGGATTACAAGGACGAGGCGCAAGGAAAGTCGACCACAGTTACTAGCGATTCAAGTAAGAAGCACCCCTCGTCTTCAGGTGGTCGTACAGATGCATCCACAGGTACATGTTAAGAAGTAATTGTTCTGAATCTTATTTATTTATTATCAATTGTTCCAAATAACATTGTTTCCGTGTAATGTACAGAGCTCTTTGCGAGTGATATTTCACAGTATGGTTGCTACGACCTCATTCCATGGCCCATTCGACCATATATTACCAGTTACCTTGATGTTGGTGCCGATGGCAATTGTGGATTTCACGTCATCGCGAGTAACATGTTTTTGAGCTAGGACAAGTGGGCGATAGCGAGAGAGGCAATGGCGAATGAGCTAGAACAGAATTGGCATCTGTACACTAGAATCTACGGGTATAAATACTTTTCATTTTCTATGTTATAATGGTTGCTGAACTTGGCAGTATTTTGCACAAATAAATGTATATGTAAATGCAGGACGTCCTGCCAGGAAGAAGTCCGTCGTATACGATGGAGTGGACAGGGTTTCGCACCTGAGCGCCATTGGATGTGTGCGACGGACTTGTTCGTAGTTGCGACTATGAACAATACAATTGTGTACTATTACGGTGCAGGGGAAGAGAACCAGTCGCTAAACTCCTCATGTGGACTATACTACCTGTCACTGCACGCGGTGAGGCAACATGTCCGGCATTTGAGATTGGGATATGTCACCATGGTATTTACAAGCACTTCATTCGGATCAATTTGGACGGTGACTTTCCAGTTCCACCGATCAATAATCGGTGGACTAAGGAACATCAGCCTAGCGTTGCTGGTTGGGAATTACCACTTCTTCCTAGAATTCAAGATTGGTATAGGTTGGTCCCCTCCAATCCTGGACGTCCTGTCGGGGATTATGCTAATGATTTCATTGATCTTAGTTTCTTAGATTAGATTCATGTTTGTTTGTTTGTTTGTTGTGAACTAGATATTGGTATTATCTAGTATCTAATTTGTTTGTTTTTTTTTTATTTGTGCAATAACGAATCTTGTTGGCCATACTAGCAAAAAAAAAACCTTACTACACGGACACCAAATAAGCTAACTAATATATAACACACAATTCCATCATACCTTAAAAAAAAAAAAAACTAAATGCAGTCCAAGAGAGAGAAAAACAAACAAATCCAGTCCAATAATACACAATGACAATGATCATGGGGCCTTGTAATAACGGATCATCGTATCCTGCAGCTTCTCATCATATTCGTCAGCCAGGTCGTGATCAGACACTTTGACCTTTCTAATCAGGTCCTTCGTCAGCTTCCTCAATTCATTCATCCACTGAAAAAACAAAAACCAAAAAAGGTTAAACTATTTATAATATAGAAATGTATATCTACAAAAACTCAAAAATTAAAAATACAATTTACATAATCCTGACTGCTCCTAGCTGGTGTAGAAACTGCAGATGGGTCAGTTGTCAGCAGCAGAAATGGATGTGAATACTGCCTGTACCATTCAAGGTACCCATCCTCACACTCTCCTACGATGTCACCGATATAATTGTATCGCCATCTGGTCAAATTAAGACACGCTAAGTCCGGGAATCTCCTCCAAGTACTGAGTGTGTCAACAGCAGAATGATGTACAAAGTACTGGGTAGTCCTGGGTCCTCGGAATGCATCATCAGGGGACATGGGCAAACGAGGAATGCTTTGTACGTAGCCAATCTGACGTATACATCTGTCCGGCATGTATGGCTCCTGCAAGTTTCTATACATTATCCACCCACTGTAGATAGTTCTAGGAACTATTCCTTGTTGGCTAGGTCCAAATGGCTCCCACTTTACCTGCAAAATAGTATTTTGATTATTTATAAATATAATTTTCAAAAAATAAAATGAAATACAATCAAATGAAGCAATTAAGTACCTCTAACTTGGTGAAACGGTCGAGACGCTCCCTAACCTGACGAAGATAATTTGGCACAGATGTCGGCCCTGCAAAAGATGGTGGTATCCAGTCATGTACTCTGGGCCTGTCATTACCCCCACGGGTAACTCGCCCTCCCTGGGGGCAGAAAATCGGGAAATACTCGTATATCCAGGCCTGTAGTAGGGTCAAATAACTACCTAACTGAGTGCACTTTGCCCTACTAGCCATCCCTAACTGACGGTATAGGAACGCAAGCGTAGCAGAGCCCCACGAGTATGAACCCATATCCTCGATCCCAACCATCAGCTCATGTACAAGTGAAACACTGCACCTCCCACCACTCTTGCCCATGAACAACGTCGAGGCCAACAATACCCACAAGAAAGCAGAGGCCTGGGTATTCTCGTCCCCTTTCTGGCATCGCTCAAGGATGAACCAATCAGAGACACCGCCATGACTCCATTTGTAACCATTCACATCCAGGCCAAGTACCCCTGCTGCATGTCTCCTCAACACATCTGTCTCGGATATAGCTGACACCAACTCTCCATCGACCCCAATGCCCAAAATATGATAAACATCATGCATCATGATGGTCATCTCCCAAACGGAAATGAAATGAGTTGGTGTCCTACCCACCTCTCAACAAATGCCTGAACTAAGCCAAGATCAATATCTTCATACGAGGTATGAAGAAGGTGACCCAATCCAGTCCCCCGAATCTTGCCTCTCACTACGTTATCCATATCTTTATACCACATCTTCAACTTATTCAGAATCTTTTTGCCTTTAAAAATCTTCAATGTGGGTCTATTGTATCCATGCCAGAAATGATAAGCAATATGCCCAAGGAAGCTAGGAATCACGCTACCATCTATCGGCCCACCAGGTACTTCATCTGTCACTAGCCATGTAGTCGGATCAATTTCATCAGAAACTCTTGACTGGCTGCTGCTGCCTGTACCATGAATGAATAAGCCAAATATTATTTATTACATTTTATACACATACAACAATTCAATAAATATAAGTAAAAATAATAAATTAAAAATAATTACAGAATATTAAATAATTACAACAATTAAATATAGATATTTGGTACCTGATGATGCAGTAGTGATAACTGGACGTGTAGATACTCCAGTGGATCCGGGACCTCGGCTAGGACCCACGGGATCAATGAGAGGGGGAGAACATGTAGATACTCCAGCGGAAACGGGACCTCCGCGAGGGGGCACGAGATCAATGTAGGGGGGAGATGCCTGAGCGGGGTGGGGGGGACGAGGCCGACTACCAGTGGATATACCCTATGGGAATTACCCGGATGCGGGAAAGAGGGACTATGATATGGACTGCGCCACTCAACACTCATAGGAGAAGGGATAGGGGTAGGGGGAGAGGGTAACCCGCGAGGACCAGGCCGGGGACAACTGGAGTACCGAGGAGGAGGGTAACTACTAAGATTGTACATAGGCGTATCTCTGTGATATGCACTCATCCTAACACTGTCCTGCACATCATCCTCATCAAACTCATTCTCCTCATCCTCCTCATCCTCATCCCCCTCTTCCAGGTCGTCCTGAGAATACTCGGGTACATGAATCGGCTGACTAGACCGAGTTTGAAGCAGTACCCCCCCTCCCATAGTGACCTGAGTCATTTTCATTCGCTTCTTTTTCTCTTTTTCCTCTTTTTTCTTCCGACGACTCATGGTCAGATAACGCGCATGAACCTTACGCTTATTAGTATATTCAGTATCACTAGTATCACTAGTATCACTGTCATCATCATCATCACAATAAACCTATAAACAAAATTTTATTCATCGTCATCATATTTTCATAGTCTAAACAAATAATTATACACATTTCCTAAATCCTAAATAATTTAATAATTAAGTACAATTCATAAAAAATTAAGTAAACTAAAGTACTTTACCAAATTTTTAATTAAATTACTATTAATTAGAATTAATTAAAAATACTCAACTATTTTACAAAATATTTATATTAATTTAATATTTAAATTAGCTTTACTAATCTACTATTACTTAAATTATAAATAATTTAATCAATTAAAGTAGTTAGGTAGTGAACTAATCTACTGTTAGTGAAATTAGTTTTTAATATTCAACTAATTTACATACTATTTAAATTAATTTAATCAATCAAAATGAGTAACTTTACTAATCTACTAATAATGAAATTAAAAATATAACCTAAATACTTTAATAACTAATTAAATTAATGAGTAAATCAATTAAACTAATTAGGTAGTGAACTAATCTACTATTAATTAAATTAGTTTTTAAAATTCAACTAATTTACATACTATTTAAATTAATTTAATCAATTCAAATGATTAACTTTACTAATCTACTAATAATGAAATTAAAAATATAACCTAAATACTTTAATAACTAATTAAATTAATGAGTAAATCAATTAAACTAATTAAGTAGTGAACTAATCTACTATTAATTAAATTAGTTTTTAAAATTCAACTAGTTTACATACTATTTAAATTAATTTAATCAATTCAAATGATTAACTTTACTAATCTACTAATAATTAAATTATAAATATAACCTAAATAATTTAATACTTTAATAACTATTTAAATTAATGAGTAAATCAATCAAACTAGTTTGTTAATGAACTAATCTAATATTAATTAAATTAAATTATTTACACAATTAAATTAAATAACCAATCTAAATCACAAACTATTAATTAATAAATAACTATTTAATAACCCTAATTACATTAAATCAAACATAAAATAAACACTAACATTGAATTAAACAAATTAAAAAAAAATTAACATTCTGGCCGCCGGACGGCCATGAAAGCCGGCTGGCGAGCGGCGGGACGCGCAGAGAAGCGCGTCGGCTCAACCCGAACGAGCAAATTGCCTGCCCGGTTGAACCGACGCGTTCCGCGCGTCTGGTCGCGCCACGACGCCTTCCATGGCCGTCCGGCGGTCACACAACATTAAAAAAATAAAAATTTCCTTCCGCCGGACGCGAAGGAAGCCGTCGCGGCGGACGACGACGCGCAGCAACGCGTCCCAGCTTCAACCCGAACGGGCGTTTTGCTCGTTGGGTTGAACCGGGACGCGTTTCTTGCGCGTCCCGGTCGCGCCGCCAGACGGCTTCATTGCGCGTCCGGCGGCCAGAATGAGTTTTTTTTTTTTTTCTTACAATTTAAAAAATTTTTTTTTTAAAAAAAACGTACCCGTGATGAGATCGGCTCTTTCCCGCTTTGATTCTTCCGTGTTGCCATCAACGGTGGATCAAATTAGACTTCAAATTTGGGTTCAGAAAGGAGGTGGTTTCAAGTTTTCTCTCTTTTTTCTTTTGGTGGAAGTTTGAAATGTGAGGGGCAAAATAATCCAAAAATATTTACGGTGGTTTTAAGTAATAAAGATGGTGGCTTAAAAAACTAACACCCTTTTTTTTTTTTTTTTTCCTTTTTTTTACTCTAATCAATCATTCATTTTACAATTTTATAACATTCTTATTACCAAAACGCTCCCAAAAAACTCTTCAATTACTAGCTAATAGTCAGCATCCAACTTATCACTAAACTTGAGCTATTAGGGCAGTTAAATAAGCTTTTCTTTTCTTTTCTTTTTTTCATATCATCGAATCCAAAAAGTGATAATACATGGCAAAATTACAGGAACAATATATAAAGAATCTAACTTTCCTTTCACTTCAAAATGGAAAGTATGAAAATGAGTAGATTTGGTTTGATCCTTATTAACTTTCTTTTTTTTAGTTTTTTCTTATTTTTTATTCCTTATGTGTCTCATTGTTCATCCAAATTTTACATTGATTTAGTTTTAAAAAATCCAACTTTTCCATTTATACTCGAAAATCAAAATATAACTAACTATTCACATATACTCTGCCTGTTAAGATTGCTGTACAACCAAATTTTGCAAACATTCCCATCTTATTCACATATACTCTGACTGTTCCCATCTTATTTTAAAACTCCATTCCAAAAATAAAAAAAAAGTTTATTTTATTATACTTTAGTTCAAGGAAGTGCAGAGTAGTATTTATTTTTCTCCCTTGGAAGATGGAAGAAAATTTATATATTTAAAAGGTAAAGTAAACATCTCTTGAGTGCAGAATTGTGTTTTAATTTAAGGGTCAAATTTTGCTAAATGGTATTTAATCTAACGGCCTAATTTTGTTTGAAATGGTAATTTGAAATGGTTAGATATTCATTCCACCATCTTATTCTAAGTCCGTTATTGAATCTCATTTAATCAGAATCTCTTGTCTGAAGTTTGTTTTAACTTAGTATACAAGAATTTTTTACTTTTATCTATATATATATATTACGCTTAATCATAAAACAACCTGTATTAGCACAGTCCATCTCCAAAATTACTTTCCTGAACTCCATCTCCCAACCAATTTGAAGCCCAAAATACATACAGAAAATAGATACATCAAATGTTAGCTGGTTGCAGCCCAAATGTGTTGTTCGTGATGGATATTAAAGAGATTGGCCCCTTTGCCGTTTAGTGAAGCTATATAAAAGAAATCCACAACAAATACTTTGACAGGTATCCGATGATTGTAACAAAAGAAATCCCAACTAACCAAATAACCAAAGTGATTGTGGTAGAGTGGAAGGGACTCCTTCACCATTAACTATAAATCGCCATAGGTTGAAAGGTCAAAACTCGCCATAGACATAGAGCAACCTAAAATATTTTGGCCAAGGTTCAAATCTCACCATAAATATGGAGCAACCTAAAAAGCGAGAGCACAGTGGACACTCTACAAATATGTAGAAAAAAAAAAAATAATAATAAAAAAATCCCCCAATCTCTTGTATTTATTTTTTGGCTAGAAACTTTGTGAACTATCTTTGGCTTGTTATTATGGCTTTTTATTTTTAGTGCACAAACGGAGGCAAAAGTCTAAATTAGTTCTCCTTGGAAACTCTACACCTATTACATCATGCGATATGAGCGCCCCGATAGTGAGCATTGTAAGTATTGACAGCTTCATGACGTAGTCGTCGGATAAGACGCAAGATATCCACAGCAAAATTCCCTTCTCTAAAAGTGTGACACAGTTGTATCTCCCAGTCTTTGCCATCTAACTCCTAATACTTCTGATCAATCCCTCTTGGATTACCTGTTGTCTTCTCCCCCACCACCCCCAAAACCATGGTGATTACACTGCAATTGTCCACCTCAGCTTGAACCCGTGTGGCTCCCACCGGTCCTCAACAACCAGCACGTGATACATCGGCCTCGTCCACTCTTAGACCGATTTGGATCTCTTCGAATTTCCCGATTCCTTCGATTTCGCACATATCTTTTCTAATGGATTTTTCTCCCCAAAAACCCAAAAATTCTTTGATGTAAAGTCCCCCATTCCGTGCGTAGATTTAAAAGTTAAACCCATCTCAAACTCCAATTGCTCTGCGCCTCCACCGCTTCTCATGTTCTTTTCTGTCATCCTTCTTTCATATATTTCATGGCTTTCATATCTGATATGTGATTATTGTATTTGCTAAATTTGAGAATTTTGTCTAATGTTTGCAGTACTACTTAACTGCTGGAGGTTGCAAGTATGGCAGCTTTTGTAGATATAGTCACTCTAGAGCTGTTTCTGACGTTGCAAGCCCGCTGCTCAATTTATTGGCCTTCCAATAAGATTGGTAAGCATCCCTTTTAGATTCTTCACAAAATCTCTATATCCTCCATTTTGTCTTTGATTTGTTAGGTTTCATTGTAATTGGGAAATGAAGCTGATTCTTGTATCCAGAATTTGATTGAAATTGTGCTCTAATTAGGGAGAGAAAGAATGCCTCCCTACTTTATGCGTAATGGTTCCTGTGGGTATAGGGCTCGTTGTGTGTTCCACCACCCTGAACCACCGTCAATTGAGAAACCCAATGATAAATCTTTGAGGAGCCGAGATTGTGAACCTGTTCCACTGCAGTTGGCTGAAGATTCCAAACCCCATTAAGAGCATTGGTCTTCGCTCCCTCTATCTGACAGAACAATCTCACCCAAATGATGTTCCTAATTCGTTTCAGCTGCATTATGGGAAATCAGTGTTTTTCTGCTAGCTTTCGGCGTACTTCATTTTTCTCAGTATCCATCCTATACTTGTGGTTGTAGCCTGTAGGTATGGGTTGTTGAAACAATTAAAACACTAAATACTGGACCTAATAATTTGTCTTTGCCAGAAAAGAATCGCAGATATCTTGAAGGCTAGATGTCTTTTTCCTCATTTGTGCTAATTCTATACATTATTCAAATTGTAACTACTTAAGGATTTAGCTTTGGACATTATTGGTTTGTTCCTTCTCCCATTGTACTCAGTATGCCTCGCTTCCTTCTGCTCTTCATGTGTTTTTGGCGATTATGTCCTTCCTTTTTGCCTTTCTTTGCTTCGAGTACAGAGATAGACTACATTCTCATTGAACTTCT